GTTATCATACCAGTTCCGCGAGTTCCCCTCCGTGCTCTCCCTCAGCATTTGTGAATCCGCCAACGCAGGTGCCAAACTAGATCCCTCCATCACCCCAGCTCTCCTCAAGAAGTCCGACCTCGACACCGGCTTCTCCCCCTTCGATCTCAAGCGTATCGACAGCTACGCCAACAATCTCCTCGACTACCACGTCATCCTTGACATGGTCCCCACCATCGCAGAGTACTACTTTTCCGGCCGTCTCAATGGCAAGGTCAGCCTCTCTGGTGTGCAACAGTCCATCCTCCTGGCCGTCGGCCTGCAGCACAAGAGCATGGACGACCTCGAGAAGGAACTGAGCCTTCCCTCATCCCAGCTCCTGGCCATGTTCCTCAAGATCATCCGTAAGATGTCGACCCACTTCCGCTCCGTCATCGAAGGTGCCGTCGCGGAGACTATGCCTTCCGAGCAAGTCCCCGTGACCCAGGCTTCTACCGATGCGCACGACGACGTGGTCGTCGACGAGCGCTTCAAGCCCCTGGAGACTGGTCTGGATGAGGAGCTCCGCGAGGGAGGACAGCAGGTGGACGCGGAATTGCGCGAGAAGCAGCGGGCCTTGATTGATGCTCTTCCTCTCGATAAGTGAGTGGCTCCCATTATACAAATATTTCACTCGCCCATTGAATGAGCAATAACTGATTTATAGCCTTCAGATACGAGATCAACAACGGTAGTGCTGCGTGGGAGGATGCCGAGAAACAGATCCGTGGCGGAGGTGCCTCGACGGTCAGCATCAAGTCGTCGAAGCCCAGCAAGCGGAAGAAGGGAGAGTCGGCTCGTGAAATTTACGACCAGGAGATTGATTCGAAAAGACAGAAGATCATTAAGAAGGGAACGGAAGGCAGGAAGAAGCACTAATGGTCCGTGACTGTTTAGGCATAGGCGCCATAGAAGCATACACGATGGTGTTCATTGAGAGTTTGGGGATTCTGTCTAGAACAAATCTGATTTTTGAGTGATTTCCTTACCCTCTTGTATATACGTGACCGATTCTCATATTCGAAAAGTTCATTGGAATTCAACTATCTCTGTTGTAAAGTTACATCCTATTCATTGATTAACCGTAACGCCTCCGCTCCAAGCTACTTCAAATAGTTGGACCTCTGCTAAGGAAGGAGTGTAGACGTCCACCAACTATAGCTACGGCCCAGATCCAGGTGCTAACAGTTTCGACTTACAGCTCGTCGTGATCGGCGGTTTGCTTTTCAGCCTCGGCCTCAGTGACGACGATCCCTTCAGGGAGCTTGCTTTTAGAACCTTCGCCCAAACGAATAGCGTCAACCCAGGACTCCACACGGGCCAAACTGTAGTCCGTGTTTTCCGATGGGTCGTACCTCCGCCACCAGCCTCTGCGTCCGTTCAACGCGATGATCTCCACTGAAGTGCTATCTTCAGAAAGACCGAGACCAGCCCGCAGGGTTGCGGCCCCACTGTTGATAGCTGGGACACTGTAGAACGGGAAGAGGTGGGCCTGGCGCACCGTGTGCTTATGTACGATCTCGGACAAACTAGCAACAGCCTCCTTCGCGGAGCTGGGGATGTCGGCGTCAGCTTCGGTGGATTCCGGAAGAAGAGCCAAAATACAAGTGCCGGATTTGGGTTTTAAACAAGCAGTCTCCAGCGCTTCCACAGTAGGAAGGGAAGCAATGGGTGGTGTCTGGATGGGGACCTGTGCGGGTTTCGATTCCTGCGCATCCTCGGGAACAATTTTGGGATCAGGAGACTCGGTTGGCTTCAACTTCTCTGCTTCATCATCTAGGACTGTTGTAGACTGAGAACGCGCGGACGATGACTTAGATGACTTGGATGATTTTGAAGGCTTGGCCTTGGAACTTGTGGCAGAGGGAGCAGCGTTGGGGGCCGCGACTTGGCTGAGGAATTCAACCATTGGCTTCTTTTTGAGTTCGCCATCATATACAATATGCTCCCGCTCACCTCCGGGAACGAGGACGAATTTGGGGAATTCCTCAATGCCAAATCTCTCTACAGCATCGGACTCCTTGCTGCGAATTTGGGCTACCTTGATTGATCCAAGGAAGTCAATCGCAAGGGCTCGGATGAGAGCGCTCGTAGTGCCTTTCTCGGTGAAAAGAATAGCCTTCGGAGCTTCTTCGTCTTCAGAAAGCCACTTGTCCAGATCCTTGTCCGTAACCCTCTTCACATGGTTTGGGATGCGCTCCACCACTGCATCGACTATAGCTTTGGCGGTCCTCTGGCCCTGGTAATCTTCCACCCTTGGTGCGCCAGGCTTCTTGGAAGGTGTCACGATCTTGAGGGTCGGGAAGCCTTGAATACCCAAGCGACCACACAAAGGTTTATTTTCGTCATCGTCACAGTTAACGGCGGCAACGTTGGCCAAACCGTCCAAGTTCTTGGCTGCTTTCTCGTAGGCAGGTTTCAGGTTCTGGCAGTGGCCACACCAGGGAGCGTAGAATCTGGTAGGAAGGGACACATATTAGAAATTGGCGATCCGGGTAGGAGGGGTAATAGAGCGCTTACTCTACGATCTGTGAGATAGTTAACACTGTTGTTAGCATTGATAATCAGTAACAGTTCGCCTTACCGATGCGTGATTGGACTTGGCAATGAGCCGATCATAAGACTTTTGATCCACCTGCAGCACAGGTGATTTTTTAGTGTACAGCCCATCAGCGTTGACAGGGAGAGCTGTCAACAGTGACGCGACAAGAAGAAGTGCAGAGCTTGGCTGCCACATCTTGAGTTTAAAAGCGAATGTCTTCCTTTGAGATTGTTTTTTTTTTTTCTTCTTTTGAAAGGTGTACTATCAGTGGTGTTTATAATATGTAGTAGGCAACCAACGTCCCAGAAAGAGAGGGAACAGTATTTATGGTTGGTAAGACGCTGAAAGAAAGCAATGAAGCAATGTGTCCTAAAGACGCGCTCTTGGCATGTGACGGGGGAAGCTTCCGCTCCGCCCAAAAATACATTTAATGATACAAAGTGCGACGTGGGGGTGCAGTCCACAGTCACCCCCATGCCCTCTCAGAAACCCTTCGCATTTCATGGGAGCTTGAAAAGTGGCTCAGGACCGCCTCGCCTATATTTTGAAAATGAACTTGAAGTTATTAATGCTTAACTCTCTTGCACGTCCGTGAAAACAAGCTGTATAGCCCACCCCCACGTTCACCATGGCAGTGGGCATGGTTGACACACCAGCAACTACGCAGGGCCATGAGGCTCTGGGAATGTCTATGCTACCACGAGAGATTTTCTGGATGATCTTGAATTATCTCAGTCCCAGGGACATCGTCCGTTGCCGCCGTGTTTCCCAATCTTGGAGCCAGAGTTTCGGAAACCCCGCAAATCTTATCCCACTCTTGAGGACGTTCTTTCCTTTGGCGAAAGAGGTCAGGGAGCTTCATGGTAAAGATATTGACTGCGTGCTGGAGACTACAGCGGACGATATCTACTGGTGCAGGCTCTTTGATCAGCTTGCCTCTAGGTATGATCATCTTAGCCAGGGGAAACCCAAATCTATCCAGAAGCACAAACTTTGTGATGACTTCGGCATATCTGGGGAAAGAGAATGGTTTCACGTGCAACCCTGGGAAACCCATGCTAGTCACCTAATGCAGCGCGTTGATTGCCCTTTCCCAGAGTCGTTTTGGTCGTATGAAGATGGTCTGATAGTGTTTCCGAGCGCAGATCACTCATGCCTTGTGCTCTTGGACCTAGACAGTGACAGGAAATACATGGTTCCCTTCATTATCACAGGCAAAGTGATTCGTCGAATTCGACTACAGAAAAGAGTTCTCGTTGTGGAGTGGGCAGAACCCAAAGCCTTCCATTGGTTAAATGATAGTGACGGAGTGCATCGCCACTTTGCTTCATCATTTGACGTGACAGAAGTTGCTAGTGGATGGAGTATCAAGTTTCGGAACGAGTGGAAGATCATGTTTCTTGGTCACCCACTAAGCGAGAGGGATCGCTTCTATTCCACTCACAGCGAAACACATTATGCCATCTATATCTGGCAGCCCAATCGCAGTTTATACACTGCAGATGACGATGCTCCAATCGAGTCGCTGTCGGTCTGGGATATCTCACAGCCATCAGATTACCGGCCTTCCTTGGACCCAACCGGACGTCTGCGTGAAGCAGGCCAGGATAATGGTCCGTCTATTATCACACGGTTTGGGTTCAGGGAACTAGGGTTCTACTCTGTCAGACAGCGAGGGTTCCCGGGCGTGCAGTGTCTGAACATTAGTGAGGACAATCAATCCATAGATATAGTCGAGAACTTATGTACAGGGCCAGTCGATCGCCTGGTTGCACCGACGGAATGGACGTCACAGGTGCAAATTACTAGCATTCCAATATCCGGCAAAGGACCCTGCTGGAGGCGGGTTGATACTCAAGCGCTTCCTCCCTACCGTGGGAACAATAGTCTACAAACAAAACCCCTCACCTTTGCCATCTGCGATGAGCCATGGTATGCTGTCGTCTCTGAGGCATATGATGAGAAGGCCGAGGTTGGATACTGCCTCCATTTGTCACCTAGTACATGGCCGTTTGATTTGAAAATGTTCCTGAGCATCCGAACTCCATCCTCGGCTAAAACATTGAAGCATGAGGAAATTTTCGAGCTCATAGGTAAGGGAAGGATTTGTGGAAATGAAAGGCACTTGGTTGGTGAGAATGCGAACCGCGAACTTGTCATCTATAGATTCGATAAGTAAAAAGGAAAAAGAAAGAAAAAAAAAAATATTAAAGTCTTTATTTATATCGCGTGGCCAAGTTCCATATATATTGCAGGCATCGAGTCGAATAGGTGTCGTGTGGATTTCTCAACAAGCCAGACCTTCAACTTCCCGCTTTATTACCGGACATGTATCATGAAAGGAGGGGAATAAAAACACCGGTATTCCCACAGTAAGTCTTTACTTAGATTCTATTGAAACAAGAATGTCTCATGGCTCCAAAGGAAAGAATATACCCAACTACTGCAACCATTAGATAGGACTGGTTCACTATCTGGAAAGACACCATACCCTAAATTCTTCCTCCTTACACCCAGATCAGCTGAAAATAGTGAGCAAAGATACATGTCTCTGGGGACAGCGCCAGAGACCAAATGAGAGAAAATCGAAATTGACAATGCCATTTATGCCGATGAACCAAGGACTCGGTGGTTGCATCCACTTGTATACATCACTGGACCCCTGCATTGCGCTATGTGCAAGATTCATATAGTGGAATAATCATAGAGCATGCACAGGGGATCGAGAGCTTCTGCCCTGGGGTTCTGACTCGTAAGACCAGAGTTAAGATAGCGCAGAAACTACCTGGGTAAATTTACGCTAACCTAAGAAATGCTAAGCTTCTGACTCTCATTTAGAAAGTAGTATCCTCCAGTGGAGAGTATATATATCTTAGAATAATAATGGTTGTACTTTCCTTGGGTGAGACTGCTAAGATATACTCGGCCTTCCTCCGGTATCCATGGGTCACCTGTATACTGTTTAGCAATAAAACATGACCACAATACAAAGATCCCGGATCAGGTGTTGTCTACACGAAGGCATTTCCCATGCCAGACTATACTAGCGCGTCGAGGAACTATATTCTTCTGGGGCATGTAAGATTGATGTATCTTAATTTGAAGGAGTATTGTGATATGCCTATATTCATACTCAACGAAGAATCAAATCCCCACGATTGAATATGGCACAAGTCATTATTATTTCCTTCATAACAACAACTGAATACAAGGGTATTGTTATGCATCATCAAGCATACCTGAACTGGCCAACTGTGGGAACTCAAACAGATTGTAACAAGAAGATAGCGGGCAAAAGTCACTATTTGTAGTGAAACTTGCAGTCAACACATGCCCTGATCCCACACGCTGGGCAAGAAAGAGTGTAGATGGGCATCCACCGATGGCACATTTCACATTCAGATGATCCAAATTCCTTGTTCCAATAACCCAGATGGCGACAATGCTCTGGATCCACCTGGGCAGTTGCTGCGGATTCTGCTCCGGGAAACTCTAGCCGGAGAGTCTCCAGCCAGCCGCAGAAGGACTCCATAACAAGGCCTCTGAGCTCAGTGTGAACATCTTCTTCCGTATATTGACCGCTAGGATGATGTAGTTTCTCCCGGAAGTGCGGGATTAAAGGATCAATGAGGAAACGTGGGCTTCGTGAAGATTCATCAACGGGCGTTGCTTGTGAAGATACGTTGTCGCCATTAAAGCAGACTTCTCCGTCACTGAAACTGTGGAAAGTTTCATTTTCATCAGTATCTGACTCCTCGGGGATAATTCCTGTTTCATCCACCAGGCTGACTGGTTCTCCAACGCTTGTCATGTCAAGCAGATCCTCACTGTCAGAGGCTGGGGCTTGTCGTGCGCTTTCATACTCGGCCTGGGTTTGTTGTGTAGAGGTAACTGAGAAGGCAGGTTCGTCGTCCTCCTCTTGGTCGTCTCCTCCATATGGATCGTATCCATTGCCTTCTTCAATATCTTCTTTCCCTACATATCCCTCTTCTTCATAGTTTTCTTCATACCCTTCCTCATCTTCATGCTCTTCATATTCTTCTCCCCTCTCGTATTTTTCCTCGCCTTCATTCTCTTCACCTTTCTCATACTGTTGATATTGTTCGTCATCTATTTCTTCCTCAAATTCAGAACCCGGGTTAGTACCAGCCATACCGCCCTCCTCAGCACAGCCCTTCTGCTCATCCTCTTCAACCAACATCTCCCCCCTCTCCGTCTGTCCTTCATCACGCATTACCCTGGCACGCATAGCTTCCTTCCTTCTATTCTGCCTCATCATTTCCTCAGTCTCCGGATCGTATGTCCAGGTATAACCCGAAAAATCCGGGTCCCCTCCATAAGCCTCCCACTGCTCACACTCTCGTTTCAGTTGCTCCCCATACTCGCGTTCCCGCTCACATCGCCTAATCTCTTCCTGCGATTCTGGAGAATAAGGATCCATGTGGACGCTATTCGTATAACTAAACATATACCGCCCGCTCATACTACGTAGAGCAGACAAATCAGGACTCGAAGCTGCCCATCCCCAAGAAGAAGTATCCTGTTTAGAAAGATTGATGCCCTGTTCTCTAAGAATACGTCTGCTCAGCAGTTCTGCGTCGTGTTTCCCCCTGCGGCTACTATCACGGAGGATTTCGACGGCTTGTTGGATCTTCAAGGTACATGGTTGTGTCAGTATAAGCTGAGTCAAGTGACTGAGAAGTAGGATGAGATATGAGAGGAATATGTGAAAGAAACGGCGAATTGTGATTGTACTATACCTTCTGAAACTCGAGGTAGGCATCATCTGCACCTGTCTTGTCAGGGTGGTACTTTAAAGCGAGTCTTTTGTAGGCGCTGTTGATGTCTTTCAAGTCTGCATCTGGAGTTATGCCCAGGATCTCGTAGCAGTTCATCGTTGTTCTTCTGATTGTGGAGGCCATGGATGGTGATCTATTTATGGCAATGTGCTGACATTTACGGCCGAGGGGATTCCGTACTCTTCTAGCTTGCGACAACCGTTGTTCCAAGAGGTAGAGCGAATGAGATGTTGAGAGATGTATGTGAGTTTTATGAAGGGGGAAATGAAGACTGGAAGCTCTATAAATGCAGAGTACGTATTCACTGTCTACATCTGAGTAGGCAGGGAAAAATGAAGGGACAGTCTGCACTTTAGCTGGAGTGAAAAGAAACAGTCACTGTTTGCATTTGAGGCAAGTAGTGGACTTGCCGTTTGATTCACCTCGTTTGTTGTCACGGTTGTTGCCCATCTCGGACCTGGGGATATCATGTGCCCAGTCTCGGAAAAGCACCACCTTGTACATGAAACGGTGAATTCCGAAACAACAATATCAGAAATGGGGGAATGATAATAGGCAGCAGACAAGGAGGTAGGAAAATGGTGAAAAAGAGCAATGAGAAAAAGTTACAATACTTGGCCAGAAGGAGAAACGGGACAAAAGAAAGATGGATAGACTGATTTACAGGCTGATAAAAATCTAGCTAGGTATTTAAGAGTAAGTCTACACACATGTCGACTCCTTCCCACTGAAGCATCATGAAAGCTTCTACATGTCCGCACTGGCGGTGGCACCGGTGATAATTTCAACCAGCTCACCGGTAATGGCGGCTTGACGCTGACGGTTGTACAGAATCTGGAACCTGCCGGACGTTAGATTTTGGACCCCAATTAATGTACTGAGCGGTACTCACTTGTTGATCATCTCACCAGCGTTCTTCGAGGCGTTCTGTAAAGGGAAATTTGGTTAGTTTGGGTCAACGAGCACCTCAGCTATTCAGGTGATACTTGCCTCCATTGCATTACGACGAGCCTGTAGATCGGTGGGTTAGTAATGATTCGGATATTCACATTATATCGGGAATGAACTTACAGAAATCTCACAAGCGTGGCCTTCGGCCATAGCCCAGAACAGGCTGTTGGCAAGAGCATATTCACGTAGGTTGGCAAGAGCCTGGTCGTCAATCTCGAAAGAGGAGATGTTGGCTTTGGAAGGGAGTTCAGCATACTAGACTTTTATATGAGCAGATGGTGAAACACTAACCGGACTTGGTGATGGCCTCCTCGGAGTAAGCCTCAACAGTGGCGGGCTCGTAGCTCTGGGCGTTGAGCCACTTGTTGTAGATGATCTTAACGCTGGCGTAGTCGGCGGGCAGCAGAGCAATCTGGTCGGCAACGGCCTGGGCATCAGCGAAGGTGGGGATGTCCTTGCAGACGTTGGCGAAGCTCAGGACGAGAGCGTTGGCGTTGGTTCTGGAGAGCTGAGCCTTGGCCTTCTCACCAAGAACAACGATGTCGGCGTCGGCGTGTTCCTGGAGGATACGGCGGGTAGCCTTGCTCAGACCGGAGTGGATACCACCGCAAAGACCCTTGTCGGAGCTGGCGACGACGAGCAAAGTCTTCTTGTCCTCGAGGGGCTTGGTCTCGGCCTTCTCGAAAACGGTGTTGGAGGTCTCACCGTAGTTGCGAGATTCGTCCATGGCCTTCTGAGCGCGGGTAAGACGGGTAGAAGCAATGACCTTCATCGTGTTGGTAATCTTTTCAATGTTCTTGATGGACTTGAGACGACCCTCGATTTCACGCAGAGTCGCGAAGTTGGCGGCATTGGGAGGAGCAGTGCTTCACAAAGGAATTAGTAACTAGCCACCGTGTTGAACGCAATCATCCTAAAATCCCAAGGTTTTCTCTTCTCTTCGCGGATGATTGGAGGTCTGTTTTGGAAGGTGCCCAGGTTGGTGTGAAGAGGTCCGGAAGAGAACTCACCGGGTGACAACAGCACTACCGGCCCTGACGGCCGGGCGAACAGCACGAGAGAACATTCTGAGATCAGACCGTAAGGTCAAGATATAATGACCAGCGATGGAAAGCTGCAGAGGGGAGTGCCGCGAGGGTGGGTAGTGAGACCTCTGCTTTAGCGGGAAGAGAAGACGTTGACTTGGACTCCTGTTTCTGTTCGTCCGACAGCCGGCAGAACGGGAACAAAGCCGCACTATGCCTGAACGGGAAGGTTGTCGGGGAGACTTGAAAAGCCAGATGCGCAGTACGCACAAACCTTTAACCCGAAATTCCCGGCATTCCTCTTCAGGCATGCAGGCATCGATGCTCAGCCAGCCTCGGAGTAGACTGTGTCAATGACGCTGTGTTTTGGGTTGGTCGCCTCAGGCAGTGGCCGGCCTCGCAACCAGACTGGCTGGTCCGGAGAAACGTGAGGGATCGCCTCAGGCCCCAAAAGACGGCCTCGTTTTCCATTGCATTCCTTTCTTTCCTCTCTTTTTCCTCTCTCAGCTTGTCAGCCCTTTCCCTTTCTTGTCTCACTCTTCTCATTATTGCCATCTCTACCCCCTCTTCAGTCAATGTATTTACTCTTCTCCTGACATCTGCTCTCCTCTCACCCTTTCCATTGGTTAGATTCTCTCTGACTTCATCCTTCTGTCAAGCGCCAGTGTTACTCTTCCGACTGGGCAGGCCAGTTCCGGTTTATAGGTTTCCCTGCCGAACTCGCCTGTACTCTTCGTTCTTTAACCAACGCTTGCCCATTCACTCGTATCCAAGCACCATGAGCTCCTCAGATGACGATACCCCACTTGTGAAAGCAAACGGTCGATCTACTGGTGAGTTCTCCTACATGTCCTGGGTCTAGCGACAGCCTGTTTGCGGTTTTCGCATCACTTCAAGTCCTCACGCCCTTGAGTACGATCTGAGATCCGCTCCTATTGGACTAGAAACTCCGTCAAGAATAGGTTTTTCTTACATATAGTCTCATCTAGTTACCCCCAGCGTGACCATGGGCGATGCGACAGAGACAAATGGCGATGTCAACCCTGGCATCTCGAACCGTTTTGGACCCGTGCAGAAGGACAATGATGTTCAGATGACGGATGCGGAAGCTCAGGACAACGGCGCCCTCAGCAAAAGAAAAGCGCGAACCAGTGTTGGTCAAAGAAAATCTTACGCGGAACCAGAGAGCAGTGAAGAGGATGATCAGCCCTTGGTACGCCAGAGCCAGCCCGCGCCATTCCCTACGTTAAACCCCCTTACTTTGCGGCGCTGTCAGTGTTAGTTTCAGCAGCTGACTATTCGACAGAGCAAGCGCCGTCGCACTTCTATCAAGCATGAAGATCCGGAAACGGATGAAGATGTACCTCTAGCGCTCAACGGGAGAAAGCTGCCAAAGGCGGCGGAAACTTCTATTATTGAAGAGTCCGACTCCGATGTCCCCATTGAAAGGAAACTTGCTTCTCAGAAGAAGAGAATTCAACAGAAAGCAGAAAAAGACGCCCAAGCTAGTCGCAAGCAAGAGTCCACGAAGGCGGCAGCGAACAAAAAGCCGACCAACGGCATCAAAAAGGAGCCAGCAAATGATAAGAAGCCTGTGAAGAGGGCATCTACAGCAAAGGTGAAGACAGAACCGAAGTCCGCGCAGTCTACCCCCGTGAAGAAAGGGAGTGCGAAAGCTACGCCAATGAAGAAGGAAGAAAGCGAAGAGGCCGAGGAGGCTGAAGAAGAAGAATACAAGTGGTGGGAAGATCCCACGAAGGGTGATGGAACGAATAAGTGGACAACCCTCGAACACAACGGCGTCGTCTTTCCCCCGCCGTACGAACCCCTACCAAAGGATGTCAAATTGAAATACGATGGTGTTCCAGTCAATCTTCACCCTGATGCGGAAGAGGTGGCAGGCTTCTTTGGAAGCATGTTGAATGCGACTCAGCATGTCGAAAACCCTACTTTCCAGAAGAATTTCTTCATGGACTTCCAAGACGTCCTGAAGAAGACAGGCGGCGCAACGGATTCCAAGGGTAACAAGGTCAATATCAAGGACTTCTCCAAGTGCGACTTCCAGCCAATATTCGCATACTATGACATGAAGCGCCTGGAGAAGAAGAACCTACCCCCAGCTGAGAAGAAGCGCCTGAAGGCTGAAAAAGATGCTGAAGAAGCCCCCTATACGTACTGCATGTGGGATGGCCGAAAGCAGAAGGTTGGAAACTTCCGTGTTGAACCCCCGTCTCTTTTCCGCGGCCGTGGTGAGCACCCCAAGACGGGACGTGTTAAGGCTAGAGTTCAGCCTGAGCAAATTACCATCAACATCGGAAAAGACGCCCCTGTACCTCCACCGCCGGAGGGCCACCGTTGGAAAGAAGTCAAGCACGATCGAGAGGGCACGTGGCTTGCAATGTGGCAAGAGAACATCAATGGCAATTACAAATATGTGATGCTTGCCGCAAACTCCGATGTTAAGGGCCAGAGCGATTACAAGAAGTTCGAAAAGGCTCGTGAATTGAAACATCACATTGATAAGATTCGCAAGGATTACAAGAAGAATATGAAGAGCGAGTTGATGGTGGAGAGACAAAAAGCCACGGCCGTCTACTTGATAGATCAGTTTGCCCTTCGTGCTGGTAATGAAAAGGGCGAGGATGAAGCGGAAACAGTCGGCTGTTGCTCGCTGAAGTACGACCACGTCACGCTCAAGCCACCAAACAAGGTTATCTTCGACTTCTTGGGTAAGGACAGCATCCGATTCTACGATGAAGTCGAGGTCGATGCCCAGGTCTTCAAAAACCTGAAGATCTTCAAGAAACATCCTAAGGGTCCAGGCGATGAGATCTTCGATCGGTTAACGGTAGGTTGCTTTGCCTTTGTTCACTAAAATGCTTGCTGACATTCACATTCTGTAGACATCTGCGCTCAACAAGCACCTTTCGAACTATATGCAGGGCTTGACGGCGAAAGTTTTCCGTACCTACAATGCTTCACACACGATGAGTACACTGCTCAAAGAGATGAAAGCGACTGGCACCATTGCAGAGAAGGTCAAGGCGTACAACGATGCCAACCGTCAAGTGGCCATTCTCTGTAACCACAAGCGAACTGTGACCGCGTCTCACGCTAATCAAATGGAGAAGATGGGAGAAAGGGTAAGTATCACATACACGACCTAGATCTTAGCCGCCGAGAATGCTGATGATTTCCCCTTCCACTGCGCAGATCAAAGGTCTCCGTTACCAAAGATGGCGTCTCAAGCAGCAGATGCTTGATCTGGAGCCTAGTCTTAAGAAGAAGAAGGGGGCTAAATTCTTCGAAATGGATGAGGATATTGACATGGAGTGGGTCAAAGAGCACCAGGCTTTCTTACTCGAAGAGCAACGCCAAAAGATCCAGAAGAAATTCGATAAGGATAACGAGAAGCTTGCGGCAGAAGGGGAGAAGGAAATGAAGGCCAAGGAACTTGATAACCGGCTGGAAGTAGTCAAGGACATGGAGAAGAAGTTCAACAAAGAGAACAAGACAGGGAAAGTGGAAGCTGAAGGCAAAGGTCCCACAGTCGACAAGCTTGAGAATGCCATCCAGAAACTTGAACAGCGTATTGAGACCATGGAATTGCAGGCTCAGGACAAGGAAGATAACAAAGAAGTAGCCCTCGGGACGTCCAAAATTGTAAGTTTCCTCTGCCCCGACTCGCATCGATAGGCTGTCTAACAACGTGCAGAACTACATCGATCCTCGTCTCACGGTTGTTTTCAGCAAGAAGTTCAACGTCCCAATTGAGAAGTTTTTCTCCAAGTCGTTGCGTGAGAAGTTTGAGTGGGCTATCAAGTCCGTTGAGGAGGATTGGGAGTTCTAGATTATTCCTTCCCCAGCAGAACTCGAATTTTGAAAGTTTTACACGGCACTGCATCTCGTTATTTCCATGTCCTTTTTATCTTTAGTTGCTTCTATTCCCTTCTCGGCCACCCTTGTGGCAATAGAAGGGCTGTGATATATGTCCCACATTCTGGTTTCGATATCTCCTTTCATCTTTCTGAGGTCAATTTCCAAAGCAAATTGGCTTTTTTGGAATACGCTTGCAAGAGCCACAGACATCTGTGGTATACTTACTTCTATCATTGCTTCGCTCTGTTGTATGTACAGCAACTCTTCAGACTCGCCAGCGAGAAAAGAACAAAGAGAAACAGAGAAGAAGGGAAGACGAAGAGAGGAAGCACTACCATATACCAAGCAATACACAGGTCTGCAGACCTGGAAACTCATCAAGATGGATAGAGCTTAGCAGCGACTTCTGCAGAATACAATATTGTATATTCTTGTCATCCTGTGCACTCCACTAAGTCAGCAGTACCTACAATGTCTTGAACACTAGAACATTGCCAGCAGTCGAAGCAGAATGTAGACATAGAACTAGGTCTCTTAACGCTGGACCTGAATACCAGTGACTACCAATATGCCTTTTGCTCCAGGTCAAAAAAAAAAAAAAAGTAAAAATAAACTAAACTAAAATAAAAAGGCTCCAACAAAATGAATTATGATGTAGGCAGTTGAGCCAAATTTCACTCATCCACTTCCTGTGTGAATCAATCTATATCCCTCCTTGGATAATGAATTCCCTGAGGGATGTATGTGGACAGTAGACTGGCCTACAAAAGCAGTCCCTAGTGCTTCTGGTAAAGCTCAATACTGACAATCTGCATAATTCGATAACCTGGTCAATACTACATATATCAAGGGTATATTAATATAATTAATCTAAATTAATGTATGCCGATCATCACTCGACGGATGAGGAATAAATACCGTACGATAGTTAACCGTGAACCGTAGATTTATTACAGATCTGACCCTAATGGATTGGAAATATAGCTATAATGTCGATTATTAATTAGTCCACTTTATACTCCGTATATATGATTACGATATTGGATATGCGTTTTCAGGGAATACTAGGAGTGCGTATTGACTAGGATTTCGGAGATCAGGAAGGAAAGTCCCGCCCGACGCTGAGTTTAAGCTAGAAGCGAGACCAAGTATGTAGAGATAGAGCGATGCGCACTGCTCTTTCGCCCTCTGTGGGCTTCCGAGGCGAACGGGGCCACATTACCCTGGCTCACATGGTCCACAGACGAAGTGCTATTCTCTTCTGGTCGGTCGATAAAATAAACTTGAAACGACCGCAGCCCGTAGCCAAAACACACTACTTAAATGCTCAACAGGAGGGCTTTGGAGAGTTCCATTCTTAAGACTAACCCAACTCATGGTATTGGTACAGGAGAGTACAGTTGGCGAAGGTGGTAAATATGGAGTAAAGTGGTCTAGAAGAGTAGTTTCGAGATCCTGTTGGCAACATGTATTTCCAATGCAGAATAATAAAAACAGAGCCGCGAAAGCAAAGCTCAAGTCATTCACATGCAAGCGGTGCAGGAGTCTAAAGGTGCAGGATGCCCATGATCAGAAAAAAAGGATATTGAACATAACACAAGCATATCAGAAAACTAGCTGGAACATACCGGCGCTCAAGAACAGATCCTGATTGGACCAAAGAAAGGATATTATAGATTACAAGTAGAGCAGTGACCATACATAGTACAGGGCAACATTTGGCGGCTCGGGGTGGATGATTAACAGGGGCGAGAGGTGGTCTATGCGCTCGAATTTTCAGATAGAGTGATTTATTCCAATGCAGATATCCGTCGTCAGTGCAGGCGAAGGTACAACAGCGGTCGTGAATGGGTCGTCATTATTGAATGCCATCATACTTTTTGTGACTTTAGGCCAAGGTTGATCAAAGTGAAGAGGTGTTGAAGACTTGGCAGTGAGAGCTTCGTAGTGTATGATAGGCCTATGGCCACCAGCCCATCCGTTTGTAGCTCTCTACCATATCGCGTACGCCGTCCGCATCGAAGCGTTCACGGGTGGGTCTCCAGCCGGTTGTCTTCTCAAAAAGTGTGCCGTCAAGGGACATGTCTTGGTCCTTGAATACGTCCCTCTCTAGGAAAGGGCTGATCGGACCTGGCCGTTCAATCTTTTTCTGTTCCATCAATTCTGCCCAGACCTGCAGACATTCCTCGTTCATGTCGTCTATCACATCGTCGAGGTTAAGCTTGGCAAACTGCGAGACCAACGATCCCAGGAATGAGCACTTGAGACCAAATATAGTAGATAGCGCATCGGCAATGTCCTGCTGACGAGTATTGCCGTGGTCAACCACGTTGAAAGCAATGGGAGCCGAACCGTCCGTCGGAGCGGTTGCCCTCCACTCGGCGGACTTCCACAGGGCACTGGCTGCATCTTTGACGTATAGGGTGTTCATCTTGACGTCTCCGGTATAAAGAAGCTCTAGGTCCTTCTCCATTTCAAGATGTACTCGTGCGAGGCATACTCCCGTGGCAAAAAAGCCCGAGCAGTATTCTCCGTAAACATGTGGCAGGCGCAATAAGCAATAGTTGAGGCCAGGGACTTTGCTGATTTCGTCACTAGCCTTCATCTTCCACTTTGCCAGCTTGTGCCATGGCTGGAGCTTGTCATCCTCCTTCCGTGGCGATGATGCGGACTTGTAAACGTGGGCGGTGGAGCATTCGACATAAGAACGGATTCCTCGACGGGCCACCTCACGAGCTAAGGCCACGGTGAGGTTGTAATTGCGAAGCTCATATACATCGTCGGGTTGTGAGTGCCTTGTCTCGCCTCCACAGTTGATTACGTAGTCAAATTGTTCGCCGTTGGCCCGATCGAAGACACGCGGGAAATGCTCTAGATAGCAAGGCGGTGTCAGTATGGGACGTCCATTGCTTGTTCAGAATTCCTAGAGATGTCGAGTGCACTCACGTTCCCGGCTAGCGTCCGCTTGAACGAACTTATCTTTAGAGCAAGCTTCCTGGAATTCAGGGGCTAACCAAGCCAGTTGAGGAAGGACTTTGTCGACGATTCTCACTTCCGATGCCAGGTTGTTTTCATGTATGTAAAGGGCCAGATGACGACCGATGAACCCTGCGAAACGCAAGACGTTTGGGTTAGCTCATGCACCCCCTTGCATCACCACGAGCCGCAGTATTATCTGTCGCATGTACATACCGAGTCCTCCAACAATCAGCACGGCAGGCTTTTTGCTCTGGTCGCTCGCCATGGTAGTATGCGAGAGGGGACCGTATCAGGGCGCGAAAGTGGCAATGGGATACAATGTGCAGCTTTCTTCTGAGTAGGTATCGTCGGTTCTCAAACCCCACACACAAGCTTGACGCAAACAAAGAATGCGGGGAGCCAGCGAAAAGGGGGAGGGGAATAAATGATGGAAGTGTAACGGGAGAGAAAGTGCGATGAGGGGGAACCCAAAGGAAGAGAGGGAGGGAGGGAGGAGATAAGAGGCGCCGAGATAATATAGTGGGTTACAAATGTAAAATATGGAGAACAAAGAAGAGAGTTCTACCTTCGCTATTTAAAATTAAAAAGAAGGACGGAGAAAGAAAAGCAAGACGGAAAGAAGCACAGGTAATAATAATAAAAAAATAAAAATAAAAAAGTAGGAGAGAAACCAGCAGGAGATGAGCAGGAGACAAAAAGTGGTTTTGGGGCAACAACCAATTCGGAACTAACGACGCTTTGATGAATTGGGGCGTATCACCTGCTTGTCCTGTGACTGTAAGACCTCGACTAGTAGTAAAACTACTCCCCAAGCTACGAATGAAGGAGCTCCCTCCTCTCTTCTCCGTTATTTTCCCACCCAGTGGGACTCGCGGTTGGGGTCATTTCCATTATCAATAAGCGCATTCGCATTCACTCTAGTATATCGCTCGTGCGCTGCTTTAATTGAACCCCATTGCAGAGTGCTTCCTCCATGACCATTTCCCTATACCAGCCCAACCCCAATTGCTGAGATCATGTGATCATCCCCACCCAGTCCTGGATGATACCGAAAAAACAAAATACAACCTAGGATGGTTTGCAGTTCATTCTAGCATGGGGCGCCCGTTTGATATGCGAGAATAGCCGAATCCATCATACTCTATATGATCACCCGCGTTGCGGCTGATGACGCTGGACCAACGGAAAAGAGGAGGGTCTCTCCCAGGTTTCCAATCCTCCAAACCGAGCAAATTCCGTTAGTCTGCGTCTAGAAATTTCTCCAGCAGGGTGGGTTGGGACTTTTCTCGGGAGTGCAAAATTAGAGCCCTCCAAGATGGGGGGCAGAACGAAGGTGATTCATCATTCCTTCCCCTGCCAAGTCGCGCGTTGTGGGACATCTTCCGTTCTTCAGGGACGCCGTCCGATCATAGTCCTGCGTCTAAGTGGGTAAAGAGAGGAGGTGAGAAACGAGAGGGGAGCGGACAAAGGGAGGAAGAAAAAAAAAAAGAAAAAGAGGAAAGTTAAGTGGACGGGTAGGACAAAAAAAAAGAGTTTTTGGGTTCAACCGTCACAAATACCAATGATGATCAATCCTTCCATATCAGAACATTCAAGAAAACTTCATCGACTGTGAGAAAAGGCTTCCCTTTGAGTATGATCATCACAGGGAATGAAATTGGATCGACGGCTCATTTCCTATATGATACAAAGCAACGGGACCAGTGGATATCGTGATGGGGTATGAGAGATAAGACACTCCATATATATTATGTCCTATTATTATTGTGCGCGTCCCGAGGCAAGAAAAACCGAAAGTGATCGCACTGCGGCAGAGAGAATTCGGGAGAAATGTCTCACCCCATATCTCGGGATGGAAGGGAACCGACTACAGGCAGCTATCGGTCTCTTAAATCGAAGGCTTAAAGGGAAAATTGCATATCCAGATCGGGTACGGAGTACATTGAATCAGGATTCCAAATGGTGTTCTTAATAGCTCCGTTTAAGGGGGAAAGGCGCTCCCTCGAAATCGACTCGGTCGAAAACAATGACCAAATACCGATAAAGACAACGGACATACGGAATACAAAGTGCGCCGTACTCCGTAGGCTGTGGGAATTAAAGGGCAAACTTGACGTCAGTTTTATTACGAGTTGATTATTCTCCGGTCTAATAATTACCCCAGCCGGGATTTGCGTCTCGTTCCATGGGCCAAAGGATGATCTGCCCATGGTTCGTGCAGCAACTGTATAGCTACCAAGCCTTCTGTAGTTCTGGCGCTAGCGTTGTCTTCCATTGAACTACCTATGCTGAAAGGCTGTAGTGTGCCCAATAAAGTCCCTTCTGTGATTATTTTCACTTTTTCCATCTCATAAGCCCCTCTGTTATTCCTGTTATCTCCCAGAATCGTCAAAACTTACTATAACTTCACTTATCAAACTTCAACCAACGAACAAAAAGCCAATAGCAGATCAACTAACGTGAAGCATCACCTTAATCCTGAACTGCTTAACCAAACCGCCATCCAGATTAAGTTCCTTGGACTTCCAAGCCTTCTGCAGTTCCTGAAAGACGATAGTCAGGTCGTGATCGACCCCCTGGCGGACACGAATTTCAAATCCTGACCATTCAAACTTAACGGAAGCTGCAAGGACCAGTTGCCCAGACTCCCAGTTCGAGTTTTCAGTCAAGATCTGCCTGGATGGACTCCACTCGTCCACTCTGCATTCAGCCGCCATGTGCTCCAAGAACGAAGATGCGGACGGGAAATTCTGAAAAGACACCCAGACAGGCGCCATTCCTTCCTGGCTCGAAGCCTCCACCAAGAACTTGGTATCATTCGGGTAGTTTCCCTCCTGATTACTCGCTTTTTCAGCAGTTGTGCCTGCCTTATCACCAGCACTGGTCCAATTCGCTTTCGGGCTTGTTGGCTCGGGGTGAACGTTGCCATTGTTCTCCTGGCCATGACTCCAAATAGAGCTAAACGGGCGTATACCACTCGGTGCTGAGATTCTAGGCTTTTGGCTAGTGGGTTCTGGGGCGTCCATTTCCCAATCGGTTGATGTCTTACATCTGTCAGATGCCCCTCTCTTGAGTTTATCTCCATTTGTGTGGTCCACTGTATATCTGAAAAGCTCCGGGCTTGAAGTTGATGTAGCATAGGGAGAATTCACCCAGGCTGGTGGCACGGAAGCAGAAGTACGTCGAGTGGGTGTAGCCAGCTGTATATTCCCCATAACTTCTTGTTAGTTATATGCGGACAAGAGGAGATGTTTTGTTACTGACCTCCATCGAGCCCGGCTTCTCTTTGTTCCTCATAGCACTGTTTGCCTTTCTTTCGAGCAAGAGGGCAACCGTCCGAATGATTCTGTGGATTAAACAGTAAGCATAGATAACGAGGTTTGACAAGAGAATCCGGGTAGACTTACTCGTCTTTGCGTTCTGGGTAGGTACAGAGAGATTCGGGCTCTTCAAAAGCCTCTGGCAGCAGGTAACTCTTGCGGGTTTCTGCGCCCCAGTATGTTATGCCATACTTTTCCACGAATTTCTCGGCACAGGAGCGCCTCTTGGACTCGAAGGATTGAAGCTCGTTCCAGCTGTACTTGGTCATCTGGACATGTTCGCGTAGGCGGTTTATGAACGCGGTGTGATAATCAAACTTCAAGTCCAGGAACGTAGTAAACTTTCGGTCGCGACAATTGGCGTTCAGGCGACCTTCATCCAGGTCACACGTCATGGGATGTGGCTCCATGATCAGCATTTGGAACTCAGAAACAGGAGATAGATCAGAGTTGCTGCTTCCTGTGATTCCTAGCCCCGGAGGTGAGAGACACCAGGTGATGGGACACTGATGCAGACGCGCAAACTATGTATGAGGGGAGAAGAGTCATAGTATCTACGAAAACGTAACAGTGGATGTAAAGTTAGAGGTGGAAGGGAAGCTGGAGTGAATGATTCCATGCTTTAGGGCGTTGTGTTGCTATGGGAGATCAGCCAATAACAGAAAGCGCCTATTCAATATCCCCATGTCCCTTCGTCTCCTTGATCAGAACATCAGTTGGGATAATAGTAGTAGAAGACAACTGAATTTGAAATGCAGAACAAACTAAAAGGCCCTACGCCACATAGAAGATGTTGTTGAGAAAACCAAGACTTGTCGGGAGAGGTAGAGCCAATATATTCCTCTGATACTGCATAGAGTAAGTTCGAAAACATCCAGGGGGATAACCACTACGAAGTAAGAGAGGTACAGTATTGTACATGAATCAGAAAATCAATTGGGGCTCGTTTTATAAGGCCAGTAATGTGCTTATATAGTCATCTCATCATTAATAGTCAAAGTAGAATAACAGCACAATCTTTAGAAAAAGAATCTTGAGTGACCCTCTCTAAACATCTTCATAAGAGACTCAGACCTAGGAGCACGAATGTGGAACTGTTCGTACAACTTGACGTTTGTATCAATGGACGGGTCACTGAAGTGTAGCTCTGCCGTCACTCGGCCCCGAGACATTTCAAAGAGTTCTTGAGTTCCTTGATGGCTGTGTTGACATCATCGAAAGTCAGGGCGGACACAGCCCAACGAGCGTGCTTCTGAGCAAGAGCAATGGAGTTATCATCAACTGTCTGTGAATTCGCATAGCTAGATGAGGGTGCCGTAGACGTTATAGGTGTAGGTGCATGAACAGGCTGGGGTGCTGGGCGTGGTACTACAGGCGCTGCTGGTGGTGGGGATCGCGCAGGTTGATGAGGTGTGGTACTAGGTTGACCATAGAAAGAACTGGGATCGCCAGAGGCAGCTGGTGAGCTCGAGGGAGACATTTTCGATGGTGGAGGAAAGGACTGAAAAGCGTCAGAAGCCTCCGAAGATTGATGGGTGCCAACGCGTGTAGGCGTATCTGGAAGGTTAGGGACTGAGGTCGAAGAAGACGTGAGTGTCGCAGGTGCCGAGGGGAGATTTAGCGGTGCACCTTGCTCCGCGTCAATATCCATATCTTGAGTTGGGCTACGTGCGACATCATGCGATGGAGTAGGTGCTTCGGTGAAACCAGTTGGAGGCTGCGGTAAAGACGGAGACGGTCCTGAAGGATGCGTAAAACTGTCGGGGACGTCTTCTACAGACGGCTGTCTCGATTGTGTAGGCAGCGATCCAACAATTGCCTGAACCTCAGGATCATCTTTCTTCACATCCAAGTCATCTCCCTCTATTTCCTCTTCCTCTTTCATAACTGGGTTGCCCTCGTTCGGGTCCTCTCCGGCCCTGATTGCCTTTGCAATCCTCACCGCATGATACTTAGCGAACTTGATTTTTGCAGCCGTCTCCGGCTCAAGAGGATTCCATATCTGGCATAGTTCAAGAAACGTGGCTGCTGCTTGGAACGTATCAGCAGTTTGCCTGCAAGAAAATCAGTTCTCTTTTTCCCTCGAAAGGCAGGGGAAGGGCAACGGACTTCGTCACCTTGTTGGCCCTCATGGTTGCCTCCGCACGCCCAAAGATCTCCAAACCAAACTGCTCCACGTAAGCATTTGCCGCAACGGCATCCGTCACCGTATCATTATCGGGGTTCTCATTTTTAAACTGAGAACATCGAGATATTAGTCGCAAATAACAGCAGGGGTTAATCGGGCATAGCTTGGTATACTTTTTCCAGCTTATCCACAAGCTCTGTCGTGTATAGCTTCACTTCATCGTCAGAAGTGTGTAGACCTCTCTCAATGATCTGGTTGACAATCCAGAAGTTGCCTGTGATTAGTAGAGGCCGCTTATCAGCTCGTAGTCCGTACCGGGTCTAATCACACAGCACTCACACCAATAGGCGACCACGGGCTTTACACGTTCAAGCTGAGCTGCTCTGACGGCAAAGCGCCCAATGTCCGCAGACTTCAGAGCAGCAGGAATGCTACTCGCCATGAGGCCACAAAAATAGTGATTTCTTCTCGGAAAGAGTTTCAATTGCTAAAGGTGGGGAGGCACAATGACAATGCAAGCGGGATGACGTTGAAAGCTCTCGGAGGGGAATTCGGGCCCCGAGCCGTTGATTTAATTTATGCGGAGTACTCCGTAAAGCAAGCTAACTCGATTTCGGCGGTTTACCACAAACTTGCACTGCAGCCCTGAGGCTACTCTCAATTAAACCCTATGCACCTTTTTAAACTTAGTATTAATTGGCAAGATCTATAGATAAACTTTTATTTGGAGTTTTTGATTCAATAATTTTTTCTCTTCTGATAAATAAGATACAACGGAAAAAGTCCAAGTCTATCATTGTTTCCGCTCTTCTACTCTAACATGCTATTGAATATGACAATCCAAGAAGCTCAATCAAGAGCGTTTTGAGCTTCTGTAGGATCAGAGATCAGGCATCTTCAAGTATCCACTCCCCAATTTCAACCCTCTCTTCAGCCAGCGCTTCCACCTCAAAGTGGTCCTCGACCTGCCCTCCAGGACCTCCAATCCTCTCAATGACAATCCATATGCCACCGCTCTCCTCTAGCCCTGGCTGCAAGTCAAAGTCCTCAACACGTACCCCCGATATGGCATCACTGTGGGTTCCATCTTCCGAAGTCGCCAGAATTTGTTTATATGGTCCTTGCCCGAGCTCCACTGTCATTAACACGGGTGAAGGCCCAACAGGATGGCTCCCGATGACGGATTGCCTACTTCGGGTAATGAGCTTGATCCTCGTAAGCCGCGGCACTTGCAGAGAAGCCAGCATTCGGTCTCTCCCTGGGGGCAGTATGCCAATATCTGAAATGACCGTTCGTCGTCCTGCTGCCTCCGGTGGAAGTGGGCTCGCCTTGCAAGGAACTAATGAAGATATCCAGAGCGTGAATCGGCCAAGTTGATCCGGCGCGAATGTGGAACAGACGATCGTATATGAGCCCGGTTCCAGGGCCTTCTTTTCCACAAGGGAACCACCGCGGCGATAGTCACCACTATCAGCGATAATGTCGCGGCTGCGTACTCGCGACACACGACTTCCATTAGACCAGAATAATTTAACATGGGTCGCAAGTTCAGTGTCCGGGCATTCCAGTAGGAGTGAAATATCTGTGGCATTTTCTATCTCCAGCCTAAACTGAGGATTGAGCGGATATCGGGAAGATTCGGCATTCCCACCTGCCGTCGAAGGCGTCCAAGAACCTTGAATCTTGCTCATGCACATATATTTGTCTTGGGCTTTTGCCATCCGTACAGGGGAGGTAGACAAGGCAGACAAAGTAAAGTTTTGATTCAACGATGGCAGTGATTGCTCAGAAACCACGACGGTATAAGTTGTTCTGGGGGGCATCTCTAACCTCATAAGCGTATTAGGAGAATCCACATAGGGGCCACGATGTAGAGCCCCGTCACTTAAAGAGACCCGTTTGCCATCTGCGTTAAAGACATATATGCTTATAAAGGCCGACTCCTCATTTGCTTGGTATTCATCAAGGGGTCGTTCTGGCTGCCCAGTTGTTCTGAAATGCTTGCCTAGCAGCAACCAAACAATCCCACCACTCTCGGTTGATACTGCAAATTGCGGGTTATTCACAAAGCAACCGGCCACGCCTCTCCCGTTGTTGAGATCCCACGTAAAGTGGACGTCTTCGCGGTATTTGAAAATCTCAGGGTTCCAATTCAGATAGAGGTTTTCAAAATGTTGAAGCAGCTTTTCGCAATCTATCCAGAAAGTACCCGGCTCAAATGAAGGCGGGTTACTGGGTAAATCCTGGGATGCAGAGAGGCTTTCATTGTCTCCGGGAGCAGCATCTGCTCCAGCCCAAGGGTTTTTCACGAGCAATTGACGGCGCCCCTTAGATTCCTTTATATCTAGTATGGCATAGTCATGCTCACTCACGAGACCCAGTTCTATCTGTTCCCTCTCGGTGAGTTCACCGGTACCTATAGTTAAGAGAACATCTCCTTGATGAAACGATCTGTAAATTCGCTTCCAGAGCTGGTCGCCAGTCACATCGTCATTATGGAGAAAAACTTGCTCGGGGATCCAACCTGTCAGTACCCAGAGATCTGTCCCGGAATTGCTTCCAGGAAAATCATAGCCTCCGCGCAATTTCAGGTATGCCTTCTCTACTAGCGCGGGCCATAGGAAACTGGGATTTTTCCGGTCGATCACGTGGAGTGATCTTGATGTTTTAGACGATGGCAAACGGTCGTCAATGACGACTTTTCGAAAGCACCCATTGAAATAAAAGCGAAATATATACTTGCCTGACGGTGAAGGCTGAGGGCTCCCCCGACTAGGGTATATCACTGGAAGAAAATGCTGCACCTATTAGTCGCAGCAGGTCAGCTGGAAAGGGTCAGTCTGCTTACAACACACTGGCCGCGTTCCAACATTGATGTAGTAGCACAAAGGCTAGCAACGACAGAACAGTCCGTCAGCATATCCTGGACTAGATCTGTCTTCCCTGGAACAGACATCACAGGAGCCAGTCCGGTGTACACATCTTCCGTATATTTCGAGAGCAGCTCAACAGGTCGTTTCCAGCCATCAAAAACTTTCCTCTGAGGATAAGAAAGATGAAGATCGGGTTTATCGCTGATATCAGTTAGAATATCCAGCAGCCATCTGAGTATACGTGCAACATTGACAAGCCAGATCACCAGAACTTACGTAAACGGAGATTCGCCATCCTCCCGTTTGAATTCGTCAGAGCCTGGGGGGCTGGACCATGGAGGGAATATGAAGCCATTCAACTTGGCTCCCTCTAGAAGAATAATCTCCTCCCGAGTGGTGAGCTTACGAGTAGATACGGGCAACCGTGGCTCTGGGACGGTTCGGTCATGGAGGCGGGCGGCAGCTTGCCAGTCCTTGGATTCTTTGATCTTTTCTGCTCTTGTGAGCCATTCTTTACATTTTGCATCCAATGCATGTTTGTCTTTCTGAACAGATGCCAATTTCAATGCTTTCATATAGTGCTCAGCAGCATCAATGGCAGCTTCTAAAGCTTGCCTTTGAGAAGTGGCAGACGATACATCCCTCTCGGCTTTCTAGCCAGTGGTCAGTATGTTATAAATGAACTAAGGTACAACAAGAAAACAAAAAACAAAAACAGGAAAGAAAAGAAAGAAGAAAAGAAAAATGGTCAAGTACCAGTGCCTGAGTAATAAAGGACTTCTGGGTTGAGGCGTTCGGTCTAGACATACTGACACGCGGGGCAGTAGTTTGATGAGCGCCTGGGATCTTCAAGCACCGTGACACTCTGAGATCTTCCCCGCGATAGGCATAACAGTTTAACTAGCGTCTATCTGACTAGACAGGACAGTCCGACACCTTGCTTGTGACCCGTCCGAAGGGCCCCGTGAAGTTTCCGAAGGAGCGACATCCGAGGTCGATCTCACTTCCCTTGTCAAGTTTGATCAGGGCCCAATCAAGGCACTGATGATTATCACGAATGGCAATCGATTGTTATTCATGAACTTAATTAGCCTCAATTCACTCGCCGTAGAATGAGGTCAAAACACAAAAGTATGGCTGCTGGATCATTCACTAGCGTGTCGGTGGGGAGGAACGGGAGTTCGAAGGTCGGAGTTTCTCCAAAATTGGCCTCCAAACGAACCTCGGCTCATTTCGTCATGCGCAATTCAGAACACCGAGGTGCAACTACCCTGGCCCTGCCGACTCTATCCTTCCCGCATTTACCTTCAGAATGCCGGGACTGTGTGATCAGTCTTGAGGTTCTTCTATTTTTCTTTTTGGTTTTCTTCTTCTATCCTTGCTTAAGCTCTTCCCCTCACCCTTACTGCCTGGGAGCTAGGGTCTTTTCACCTTACTCGGCATTCAACTTTTCTATCAGTCGATTCGGTAAGTCTTCAGGCCGAACGCTAAACCCCCGACATCGCACAGAGCCCTAGCTCATTCGCCGGTCTGGGGTCTACCAGTATCTCTGCTTTTAATAAACTATTCTTTCTGACGGAATTGGCAGAGGTATTTTAGCTCATCCTGCATAATGGCTGGCCAATCGAAACCCGCGCTCTCCCCTTGGGGTAGCGCTGTCGCAGGTGCAACTGGTGCTGTTCTCGCAAATGCCATCGTCTATCCACTGGACCTGTGCGTACATAGCCTTGTCAGTTGGGCTGGTGTGGATACAGACTGACTAGTTTCTGATCTTTAGTGTCAAAACCAAACTTCAAGTCCAAGTGAAGAACGCACCTGAATCGAAAAGCGGAGATGTAGTACATTACGAGTCGACCCTAGATGCCATCAACAAAATCGTGGAAAAGGAGGGGATTGAAGGTTTATATTCCGGGATGGTTGGTTCTTTGCTTGGCGTTGCTTCGACCAACTTTGCGTACTTCTACTGGTACAGCGTGGTGAGAAGCCTTTATATGGCATCGAAGAGCGTATCTAAGCCACCCGGAACCGCTATGGAGCTTTCCCTTGGTGCTGTGTCCGGGGCTATCGCTCAGATCTTCACTATTCCAGTTGCTGTTATCACAACCAGGCAGCAGACACAGCCAAAGAGCGAGAAGAAGGGTCTGATCGAGACTGGTAAGGAGGTCGTCAATAGCGAAGATGGCTGGACGGGTCTATGGAGAGGTCTCAAGGCCAGTTTGATCCTGGTTGTCAACCCGGCCATTACCTACGGTGCCTATCAACGTCTGAAGGATGTCCTTTTCAAAGGAAGGAACAATCTGAAGCCCTGGGAGGCTTTCCGTAAGTAGTATCAAGGCTTTAATTCCTGAATGCGAAACTAACCAGTGCCGCAGTCCTGGGTGCTCTTTCCAAGGCAATGGCCACAATTGCAACCCAGCCGTTGATTGTGGCCAAAGTTGGTCTTCAGTCGCGGCCACCCCCTGGTCGCGAAGGCAAGCCCTTCAAGACCTTTGGTGAAGTTATGCGGTATATCATTCAGAACGAGGGCGCGCTGTCCCTCTTTAAGGGTATTGGGCCTCAGATCTTGAAGGGTCTGTTGGTGCAAGGCTTGTTGATGATGACAAAAGAGAGGTACGTGCCGCATTCAGTAGCTGGATGTGTACTGGGACATGAACTAACGGCTTGAAGGATGGAACTCATTTTCATCGTTCTCTTCGCATATTTGAAGAATATTAGATCGCAGAAACTAAAGAAGGTCGTCGATACTGCTGCGGCCGAGGCTAAGACCAGCCTTCCGGCAACCCTGAAATAGACGTCGTTCCCACTTTCCTTCCATTATATACCAACTAGCTAGTCTTTTTGTTCCTGTCAACTATCTTCTATACGGCGTGTGGGTTCCGGATCTGTCAATTTTTCCTACTTCTTCTTATGATTACTCGGCATGGTTTTTTCTGTATATTTGCCAAATATGATGTATAGAACATGTCCTACAGGATGGACATAATCAAAAGATAGATCTGCCGAATGCAAATCATCTGAAAGACAGCAAACGCGGGCGAGTGGTATACATAGTGGAGACGGACTGTCTGATATCCAGAGTGATATGAATACTGGGTATGGGCAACTACCTATATAGGCGCATCGAAAACATGAATCCCCCTTGTCATTCGGTAATTGATCGATTGTTCTAAACAACCCTCCGAAAAATAATTTCTTCGCGGTCGTACGGACCAGTAAACACATATATATGTACGGAGTAGTAGTATGCTAGCTTAATCCCACCCGACCGCCCGGCTAGCCTTAAATCAATACATTCCCTCGGCAACAACCTCCATGTTATCTCCGAATTAGCGGTCACAATTCCATACATTTCCGCCATTCCACCTCCAACACAGCTCCCGTAAAACACCAATAACGAGGGGCATGAGCCGTCATGCGATGGCCACCATGGGCTTCCGAATCGCAAGCCCGAGAACAACAAGATGAACAAAACAAAACGAACTGGAACAAATCCCTCAATGCGATCGACTGGGCCGCATTCACCGAACCCAGGACTTTAATTCCCACTCTGATCCTCACGACGGGAATCGTCGGCGCACTGCAGATCCACCGCCGATACCTGCGCCGTTTCCCCGACGCCGTTAGCATTTCGCCATCGTACTTCCGCAAGAGGACTATCCTGGGCCAAGTGACGAGCGTCGGCGACGGCGATGGTTTCAGACTATACCACACACCCGGAGGAAGACTGGCGGGATGGGGTTGGTTGCCTTGGAAAAGAGTCCCCACCGCTAAGAAGGACCTGAGGGATAAAACGGTGCGGTGATATTATCTTGCTCAATTTCGGATAAGGGATTCTAATGGGTTATGTTTAGATCTCCGTTCGCTTGGCTGGTGTCGATGCGCCGGAACTCGCGCATTTCGGTCGCCCGGAGCAGCCTTATGCTCGGGAAGCTCATGAATGGTTGACGTCGTACGTTCTTAATCGCCGTGTTCGGGTCTTGGTGCATCGGCAGGACCAGTATCAGCGTGTGGTGGCTTCTGCGTATGTGCGACAGGCTCTCGATTTCCCGATTCCTTTTCGTCGTCGTGATGTGTCGTATGAGATGTTGACGCGGGGATTGGCTACTGTGTATGAGGCGAAGGCGGGTTCTGAATTTGGTGGCCCTGAACTGGAACGGAAGTATAGAGAGGCGGAATCTATAGCAAAACGGAAGGGTACGGGTCTGTGGAAGGAATATCGTCGCAATCGCAAAGGGTGGGAGAGTCCGCGTGAGTATAAGACTCGTATGGAGTCGCAGGGTAAGGGCGATTGAGGAAAAAGACGGATCAGGCTATGTATACTAGAAGGTATGTGCCCGTATGTTTCGAATCCTGTTATATGTTTATCCTGTACACTCGATAGCGATTTCTTTTATGACTGGCCGTTTGATATCTACGGTTACGATACGGTGACGCACCTAGAAAAGCAGAGACTATAGCATGGCCAATCTAAGAATGCATTTTCTTTCCTTTCGATCATGCTAGCCTTATTAGGTGTATCTTAACACAAACAGCATGGCCTCCACAATGAGAGGTACATGACTATCTCGCATCATAGCCCTTGACAGGTCGTAGAAACGTTTGACGTCAAACAGAACATCGTAAAAATAGAAGTACAGGGAGGTATCGAACAGTGGTATATTCAAATACAAGGAAATATTAGCAGAACCTCTTCTCTACCTCCGCGAAAAGCTGTGGGCTAATCTCATCACTGGTGTTGCCCTCAACACGCCATAGGCAGCCCTTGCGCTCGTAATGCTGGAGCAAGGGCTTGCTGGTTTCTTCAAATTTGCGAAGTCGTTGCTTCCATGTCTCAATCGAGTCATCCTCTCTCTGAGTCAGAGGTTCTCCAGTAATATCGTCCTTTCCAGGAACCTTGGGGGCGTTGAAATCGGTGTTATATACCCTTCCGGATGGCTCGTGGACCCAACGAGACGCTATCCGGGAGAGAATGATGGATGGGGGTGTAACAAGTTCGACGACGAAATTGATAGGAACAAGTTCTTCTAAGCTGGAAGCCTGAGTAGCGGTGCGCGGAAAACCGTCAAGGATAAATGAGGCGTTGGAGGAGATCGATGAGTTCGACGATGTTGAGAGCCAGCCCTTCGATGTAAATTCGGAAGATATGAGCTCGAGGATTAATGAATCGGGGACGAGGTTTCCTGCTTGCATTGCGGCCTCTGCTTTGAGTCCTAAACCCAGCAATCATTAGGCGCAGTGTCTAAAGCACAAATGATCTGGCCCTGCTTACCCAATGGTGACTTCTTCCGGACATTTTCTCGTAAGAGGTCTCCGGAACTTATTGACGCCAGTTGCGGGAATTTGGCAAGAAGTCTTTCTGTTTGGGTGCCCTTTCCAACACCAGGGGCGCCGATAAGGATGATACGAGCAGCCTTACTGAGCTGCCTAATTGCGAGCGTCATTTCGCCGTACTCTTTTGCGACTTTGGAATGGCAATGTTTTTGGGATTTAGGGCACCGGACTAAATGTTGAGCGGAGAGTGGAGAGTGGAGAGGTTGGTGAGGAGTGCGCGCGCTAGTTTGAAATCATTCCGACATTATTTCGGCGAATGTAGGAAGCAAGGAAGATATGTTATGTATGTATGTTAAATTGGAGGGGATGATTGCTTCGTGGACCTTTAGATCTGTACTCGGGATTATCTACTCAACAATTCGGATTTTACATCAGGCCGGGGAAGCCAACCCCACGGAATCTCGATGTCTTCCTGTTTAGGAAGTCGGTGAGCGGAGGGAGAGCCGGAGAGGTTTCCGACTCAGTACGTGAAGGTACTCCGTAAAACAGAGTTATCTAGAGTAATCGAACGTGCATCAACGGTCTCGGAAGGCACCTATTGTTTGCGGACCGCAGTAACCCGATCTATACACAATTGATTCACATGCATACCCTGGTGTTATGTCCGTGTGTCCCATGGGCCCTCCACTCAGTCCATGCTTTCCCTCGGCTAGTGAAGGTAAATCCACTTTATATCACGTGATATGAAGCGCGTGCAGATCGCGTGGCGCGTCGGGACCGTGTTTAGTCGGGACTGAGCATAGAAGTCTGGTTGTCAAGGAACGCTGTGTATACGTCCTTGACTGACATAGGTCTTGCGACTTTGTGGGCTCAAAATGATTCGACAAGATTTCCACAAGATTGATCCGAAGAGGAGAGCAAATCTCGACCACAAGAAAAAGCAATTTGCTGCTCCAGTCTTCAAACAACAAGATTATCCGCACCGCTTAAACTTCTATGATGTCCCACCAACGGCAGAGATTACGCTCGAGCAATTCGAGCAATGGGCTATCGATCGGTTAAGGAGTATGTGCGCTCTGCCTCCCGCCTCTCTGTGTATACTTATTGACTGGTGCAGTTCTGGCCGAGATCGAGGCCTGTTCGTATAGAAACAAATCGCCCGCCGAGACAGAAGCACACATTACACCACTCCTCCAGAAATATCTTCCACTATCCTCAAACACTTCTTCGTCGTTGGGTGCGACCGATCAGCGCTTGAAAAATGAACGACAAAAAGATCACTATTCACATTTCATTCTTCGTTTGGCCTTCTCCGCCACAGAGGACCTCCGTCGGCGATTTGCGCGAGCCGAAACTATGCTTTTCAGGTTCCGGTTCCAAAAAGATGATTCACGAGAGAGACGTGCTTTTATAGAGAGCCTCAGTCTCGACTGGGAGCCTGTTAGTGATGAGGAGAGGCGTGAGCTTTCTGAGCATCTTGTGAATGCGACACCGGGGTTACGCCGTGTTGACGAAGAATCTTGGTATAAGGTTGATTGGGAGAGAGTTCCGGAGTTGGTGGAGAGACGGTCTGTCTTCTTGTATAGAGGAAAAGCATACGTACCAGGAAGGGAACAGTTGAGCATGATTATTGCGGAATTCACGGCTCGGTTGGAGCGTTCTTTAGAGGTATGTGGAACCCTGCGCCATGCTCAGAGCAAAACCATTGACTATTACTAGCTCACGAGTCGAGCCCTACCACGTTTGGACGAAGATGATCGTCTCACACCGATTTTAAATCACCTGTCTAAGAACTTTGGGAGTGCTGAGTCTGTATACTCTGAGGGCGAAGGAGTTGTTGATGGCGCTCCAATCACCGCAAACAACATCGATCAGCTTTCCCAACATTTCCCACTCTGCATGCGCAGTCTACATATGTCACTGCGCAAAAACAACCATCTAAAGCATTACGGCCGACTTCAATACACCCTCTTTTTGAAAGGGATTGGCTTATCATTGGAGGAGTGTATCGTTTTCTGGCGTCAATCATTCAAAGGATTTACCGACGACGAGTTCAATTCCCGGTATAAGTACAACATCCGTCACGCCTATGGCGATGTGGGCGGTGATGTCAACCGCAGAGGTCGCGGCTATCCTCCTTACTCATGCCAGAAGATCCTGGGCGACTCAAACCCAGGAGTTGGGCAGACACACGGCTGTCCTTACCGTCATTTCTCCGTTGACAACCTCATTGGGCTTCTTCAGTCCACTGGCATTAGTGACAGGGAATTACTGCGTGGAGTGCGGGAAGACGTGGAAAAGACTCGGTATCATATCGCTTGCAACAGGGTCTTCGAGTGGACGCACAAGGCAGAGATCAAGCGAGTAAAAGAGGACGGCACTTGGAATCAGACGGATCTGGACACCATTGTCCACCCAAACACATACTTCAAGCGCAGCTATCTCCTCAAGCAGGTGGGGAAAGCTTCAAGGAAAGCTTAACAGCTTGTTAAATGCACTTTACGAAGCTGTGGTTGCTTGAAATTTTCACTTGCACACAGTTGTACATGAGGCGTTGATGGGTTCGGTTTATTGGACGTCACAGCCAGGCAGTCTTTCGCTTAGGTAGAAATCTACGTGTAAAACTAATCTGCATATTGTAATGATATCCTCCTTTTCCCACCGCTCCCACGCCAATTAAATGGCTAAGGAGGGTCATGATGTGACCACAGCTGATTCCCAAATTATCCGAAAGGATCGGAACGACCTTTCAAATCCAGGTGCCCAGCAACGGGTCAGGTTACTCTTCACTCGATGCGAAAGAGCAACTTCGTCATTGAGATGGACGGAAGCTGCCAAAAATTCAGACGTATCGGCGATGTATAGATGAGAAAAAGAGAAAGAAGAAAAACTTGGTGCCGACGAATTTGACCGAAATTTAAAGCACACTAGTGCGGAAGTACGGTTGCGCATAGCCGCCTGACATGCTGCAACCTGGCCTTACGGCAACAACACAGGTTCACACAACATACTCCTAGTCCCCGCATAAGTCTCCGGACAACAGCTGTTGGCGTTGCCCTCTTAGAGACCGGGTTATAGTACAGGATACTCATTCATATTTTTAGTTTGCTTAATCAACCGGATTCCTTTTTCCATTCTTGTTCGTTAGATACCCCTCTCATACGACGAAGCTACCGAGCCCCGTTGTTTGCCCAACAACATGGACTACGAAGCGTTAAAGGACCAATGGAGTGATGTCGAGGACCGCGATGGCATCAGACTGAGCTGGAACACGTTTCCAAGCTCACGCATGGTTAGTTTCGATGTCAGAGATTGCGATATCCTTTTGACTAAGTGGTGCATAGGAAGCATCTCGGCTGGTCGTCCCTATTGGTGCTGTGTACACTCCGCTCAAGGACAAGCCAGACTCTCCTTTGCTGCAATATGAACCGGTGACCTGCAAGGCACCTTGCCGGGCCGTTCTGAATCCTTATGCGTAAGAGATGCACCCCGGCATACAATCTGTTTAAGGACTAACGACCAATAGCAACGTTGATGTCCGTGCCCGGATCTGGATATGTCCATTCTGTCTGATGCGCAACCCCCTCCCCCCTCATTACAAGGATATCACCGAGAGCACGATACCGCCGGAGCTTCATCCTCTAAGCACGACTATCGAGTACCAATTGGCGCGTCCCGCCCCTACTCCTCCTATCTTCGTATACGTTGTCGATACCTGCCAGGAAGAGGACAGCTTGAAGGCCTTGAAGGATACTCTGGTGATGAGCTTGTCTCTGCTGCCAGCAAATGCGCTTGTGGGATTGATCACATATGGTACTATGGTATGAACTAGGGACTTATACGATGGGAGCAACGCGAGGATAGATTGTTGACCCTACCACAGGCTCAAGTGCACGAGCTAGGCTACACCGAATGCGCCAAATCGTACGTGTTCCGAGGCAGCAAAGAATATGCCGCCAAGCAAGTCCAAGAGATGCTTGGTCTCCTTTCTCCTGGAGTGCGTCCGAACATGCCTCAACAACCGGCTCGCCCGCCTCTTGGCCCCGCCGCACGATTCCTTCTTCCTGTCCAGCAGGCCGAGTTCCAGATTACCAACGTTCTTGAGCAGCTTCAGCGTGACCCGTGGCCCGTTGCGAACGACAAGCGACCTCTGAGATGCACGGGTGTTGCTCTTAGCGTTGCAGTTGGCTTGCTTGAGACCTCCTTCCAGAATGCAGGTGGCCGCATCATGGTTTTCACCAGCGGCCCGGCAACCGAGGGTCCAGGCCATGTTGTTGGACCCGAACTTAAGGAACCTATGCGTTCTCATCACGATATCGATCGGGATAACATCAAGTACTACAAGAAAGCCGTCAAGGTACGCAATTTTCGCTATAATGAGGGATTTTGGTATGCTGATAGGAATAGTTCTACGACGCCATGGCTAAGCGTGCTGCCAATAATGGGCATATTGTGGATGTCTTTGCGGGATGTCTCGACCAAGTTGGTCTTCTGGAGATGAAGAACCTTGTTAACTACACTGGCGGTCATATGCTCCTCACAGATAGCTTCACGTCCTCACAATTCAAGCAATCCTTCGTCAGAATCTTCGACAAGGATGCCAATGACAACTTGTTGATGGGCTTCAACGCATCCCTTGAAGTACTCACTACGAAGGAGCTCAAGGTCACGGGCCTTATTGGCCACGCGGTATCTCTGAACAAGAAATCGAGTTCCGTCGGTGAAACAGAGTGCGGTATCGGCAATACGTGTGCCTGGAAGATGTGCGGCATTGATCCTTCTTCGAGCTACGGTGTCTACTTTGAGATCGCAAACCAAGGCGGGCCTGCGGCAGTGCAGCCGGGTCCTCAGAGAGGAATGATGCAATTCCTTACGTACTACCAGCATTCGTCTGGTCACTATCACTTGCGGGTCACAACTGTCGCACGCAACTTGAGTGGGCCTGCTGGAGATCCTACGCTGGCGCAATCTTTTGACCAGGAAGCCGCTGCCGTTCTGATGGCGCGTATTGCAGTATTCAAGGCAGAGGTCGACGATGGCCCCGATGTCCTCAGATGGGTTGACCGGATGCTCATCAGGCTCTGTTCCCGCTTTGCGGATTATAGAAAGGACGACCCAACATCATTCCGACTTGAGAAGAATTTCACGCTTTATCCTCAATTCATGTTCCATCTCCGCAGAAGTCAGTTCTTGCAGTTCTTCAACAACTCCCCTGATGAGACAGCCTTCTACAGACACGTTCTGAACCATGAGGATGTTGGTGACTCCCTTGTCATGATCCAGCCGACCCTGGATTCATACTCCCTGGAACATGAAGGCAGCCAGCCTGTCCTTCTTGACTCGGCTTCCATCGAGCCTTCCCACATCCTTCTGCTTGATACTTTCTTCCATATCCTTATTTTCCACGGTGAAACCATCGCCGAATGGAGGAAGGCCGGCTATCAAGACCAAGAAGGCTATGAGAACCTGAAGGCCCTTCTTGAGCAACCCAAAGAGGACGCTAGAGTTCGTACCTCCCCATCTCAAATTCCAGAAAATATGAGCTAACTTGGTTTAAAACAGGAACTCATTTCGGATCGCTTCCCACTGCCTCGTTTCATCGTTTGTGATGCCGGTGGCTCTCAGGCACGTTTCCTGTTGTCGAAGCTGAACCCATCTACCACACACACGACAGGAGGATATGGTGGTGGTGTGACATCGCAAACCATTTTCACCGACGATGTCTCCTTGCAGACATTCATGGACCATTTGATGAAGTGAGTATCACGAATTCAATAAGATCAACGGTGCATACTAACTTTTGTACGTAGGCTTGCGGTTTCAGGAACCAGCTAGATACGACGATGTAGTGACCATTAAAGGGCGGTTCTACGTCGATACTTGGTTCTTCTGTATGTTTAGCGGCTATTTGTTTTTGTTTGTTACCCCGCGGTATAGCAACTACCTAGACACAATGAATTAAATTCAAATGAATTCTATCTACTAAACCTCGACTTCTCTGCACTCCACTTGCCTATTCTAGAACTCCGGAATGGAGCCTTCATGCTCCATGATATAGATCACGTGATAATGATAGGCGGGTTGAGCCCTGGCCACCTTACCTGATTGGGTGCCTCGCTTAGGCCTAGCCCGGGAAGTGAACCTCCAGTCAAATATCCTGCGCTCTTTCAAGAAAATTTCCTTTTCTTCTTTGTACCATCCACCCCGACCAACTCTCCAAGGACGATTGACGACCTTTCGCACTCGCCATGCGTAAGTATCATCTCCTTGGTTATACCACTGGCGACTAATATGTTTTGCAATGAATAGCTCCCAAGTTCGACCCCAATGAGGTGAAGATCATTCACCTGCGAGTGACTGGTGGTGAGGTCGGAGCCCAGTCTGCTCTGGCTCCCAAGATCGGTCCTCTCGGTCTGTCCCCCAAGAAGATCGGTGAAGATATCGCCAAGAACACTGGTGACTGGAAGGGTCTGCGTGTCACTGTCAGACTCACCATCCAGAACCGTCAGGCCGCTATCTCCGTTGTGCCTTCCGCCTCTTCTCTGGTCATCAAGGCCCTCAAGGAGCCTCCTCGTGACCGCAAGAAGGAGAAGAACATCAAGCACAGCAAGTCCGTCGCTCTTGACGAGATCATTGAGATCGCTCGCAAGATGCGTCACAGGTCTTTGGCCAAGGAGCTTCAGGGTACCGTCCTTGAGATCCTTGGTACCGCTTTCTCCGTTGGTTGCCAGGTCGATGGCCGCAGCCCTAAGGATATCAGCGATGAGATCAAGGCTGGCGAGATTGACAGTAAGTTCCTTGGAACTCAATATGGGTTGACTTTCATGTACTAACCATCACCTAGTCCCCTCCGAGTAAATTATGGTCGGAAATCCGCGGCGGTCGTCTTAATGTATCGGCATGCTAGTTAGGAGAATACGATTAATGCCTTGACAAAAAAATGTTTATGAGTCATGACCTAAGATTCCCAGATTGTGTTCAATCGAAAACTCATTCGTTCCTCACTGGACACCTTGCCCTCTCTTCCCCATCCTTCCATCTGGTTGTGATTTACTCGCGGTCTATATGCGAGTGGAGTCATGATCAGACTATACCCCAGATGACCTTTGCAACACTCTGGCCCTTACCGTCCATTCCCGCCTTCGGGCCTGGTATGTGACTTCTTTCAACGTGGTATAGGCTTATTTTACGCAAAGAAGATCAAATCTCGACCCACTACTCATCGCGGTATCTTTGCGAGGGGCCTCGTGCCTCTCTCTGTGGATACAGTGATCCATCATCACGGTCAACAACTCGAGGCTTTATGCCTAGCCTATTATGGCTTGTCTGATTCGTAGACATACTTCGTAATATCTGCAATACAACTTTTTTTTTTCAACTTCAGCTTTGCACTCTGCCTAATTATAGTTGTGATTGTTCTTCCTACGCATTCTCTGAATGTACATGCAATAATACTACTAGTAGCTTTGCGTACTTAAACATCTAGGACAAAGTCAATCTCCGATTCGTGCCGTCGATGCAAGCTCTCTACTCCAAATGAAACGCGTCAGTAAATGGTGCCGGTATCTTTGGAAACTCTTCTACCCCTCAGTGTCGAATGTACTCCGTACTACCCCTTCTCGGCCTGAGCGACGATGATACCATATCGTTTGTATACCGAGAATGGTATCTACGTGTTTGGTAGTACGATATGAAGTACACCCCCGAGATGCTCGTTCTCCACCAACTACTAGTAAGGATTCAATGATTACTGTCGTGGCAGGGTTCCTGATACGCGCCCAGCTGCAGGTGCCCCCCTGATGCCGATAGTGGTGGGATATGGGCTGAAGGGGGGTGCACAGTGCCACCGCCATGTATGTCCTACAGCCCATATCCATACATCAGTCACATATGCTGTGCAAGTCACGTTGGGTAGGGATGAGTCAGACCATGATGTGTAACGGATTGCTGTACCTTGTTATACATCTCGCAATCTCAACAACACATCATCGGTTTGATATATATTTCTGCCCCGTTCTCCAGGTGGAACGTGGCCTGGGATGATTTAACTTTTGGCTCTGACAATCTGGCAACCTTCGCCCGCCGGTCGAGAGAGATTATCTCGGTAGATCAGTATATATGGGTCATCTTATACCTGAGTCGAAGGTGGAGGAAGAGGAGAAGCGAGAGGCAAAGTTTTGCCGATCGTCATCGTCAGACCGCTCGTGACAAGGCTAAAGGAGAGCCGGCGGCCCCATTTCCGCCCTCATCGATCCCAATAGACCCTGGTCTGGGCGGATGGAGAGCGTCGGAACTAGCAGGATGAATGATACCTAGCTGGTGATTCCTGCGCAGGAGGAACACTAGTGAGTTAGTTATAGGAGTAGCCATGGGGAGGATGGAGCCCATGGCTGAATCGGATTGGCATGACTGGATACAGATGAGAAACGGGCTGCGTTGGAAAGTTTGGAAGTTGACTCCACACCCGGGAAAGTGGATTTTGAGTTGGACCATCTGGGTTGGGTGAGATTATTTTTATCCAATTTTTTTTTATGGAGATGGGTTTATAGTGGTTTATAGTGTGTGCTATACATGTACGTCGTATGTACGGAGTTCTAACTATCTAATTAAGTATCTCCTATAGTCTGAAATGGGGGACTAGCGAATCCTCTGGAACCATTCATCTTTTTTTTTTTTTTTTTTTCTTTTTTAAAAAAAAAAAGAAAAAAAAAAGAAAAATTAATTACTTGGATTTCCTTCGTGGGGAAACCTTTTAATTTTTATTTTTTCCAATCCTACGCTGTTAGGTCTGGAGTGCCACCTTCTAAGGTTGAAAGCGTTGAACCGGAGGAGTTAAAATATCAATACAAGCATAAAAGGGGAGAGTAAAAAAATGGTAATGAAGGTGTCGACCCGAGAATAATAATCAAAATAATCCTAACTAATAATAATATTCTCAACTATTACTGACGACAATGGACATACATCCAGTCGGTTCTCCCTCACCTGATTTGCTTTGGCCCCGGGCATGTGCGGTACTCCTGCTAGTACTTCCATGGGCGTTATATTTTTTTCAGCCTCTGGCTGCATCAGAGTTGCAGAACCGCCAATTCAAACGATGGTCACCTGTGTGGCCAAGTGTCTGAGCCTCTACCACTTCAGTTGATCTACGTATGTTATTTTCCTATGATTGTTAAAATTCTCCTTTCCCTCACCGGCATATATTGTCTTATTATACCGATTTAACCCGGTTCTGTCGCTCTCTTCTAATTTATTATCATTGTCATTGTCATTTATTATTTTTGGACAAAAAAAAAATTCCTCAATTTAATTTATTCCTTTATCTTTTGTCCTCTTCAAACAGGGAAATCATTAGAATATTCCACCGGTGCATGCCAAAGGCCAGCTTGCATTGCAGGTCACCAACACGGACATACTACTCACAGGAAGTCAGCGACTCCACTCAGCCCACCGAAAGTGCCAGATCGCCCTTCCGCCGTCTCTAAGCAAACCCTCTCATAACCAGAGGCTTGATCAACTGCGGGCGCCACCGGAGACCGGGGGCCTTGGACGGCGGTCCACTGACGTTGAACAGACCTGGATTTGCTCCTGCGCCCAGGAGGCTAGCGCCTGGTCCATCCTAGCCGTTGGATCGCACGGGTGGGACTGGGATGTGATGGATTATCGTGTTTGATTAGGTGGGGATTTTCTAATGATTTTAATTCTTTGTTTCCCCTCCCTGGTAGTATAGTGGAGATTTTTTTTTCTTCTCTTCTTTTTGGGTCACTGACGTAGGGGTTATGATACCTGGGGGACTCTTTTTTATTTGTTTGAATTCCGCCAAAATTATACATAGATATATTTATATATCTAGAGTGACACCATCAGACAAAACCCGGGAGATATATTGAAGAGAAAAAAAAAGGCAAATAAAAAGCAAATAAAACGAAAAGGAAAGGAAAAAGAAATCGCAAGCCAATGAAAATAATCATCTGGAGGGTACAAGCCACATAATCATGGTGTTAAGGCGCCCAAGCCCACTTCCATCCCAACCCAGTAATGGGGACTCCACCAGGTCGACTCCATTGGCTCCACTTCCGCTGCTCCATTCACTTGCACTGGCTCCTTCCCCCACCCCAAAAAAGGAACCCCCCTAAGACGAAACGGGAGCTTCAGAGTGTCGTTGTCCACTGCTTTCGTTTGTGAAGCTCCGCTCTGTCATGATGGGACATCCCGCTTCATCTCTGTCCATCATGATTCTAAAATTTTCCTCTCCTTCTGCGACCTGATCTTCCCCCCCTCTTGACCTTCTTTGATGGTCCTTCACCTTCTGGTCGGGTCAATACGAGTTTTGACTGGTCCATTTTTCTTACCATCCTTTATTACCCCAGACCCGGACATCCTTCCAATCTCTTTTCTCTCTCACTTTTATGGTTCTGTGCCTCTCCGCCGGCCGTTGGATGTTCTCCGCCTCAAAAACTCCCTGCGTCCGCTGTCGCCTTGGATCTTAGGCACCTTTTTTTCTTTCCTTTTTTTTTTTTTCCCTTTCCCTGCTTAGGCCAATCGTAATAATTAATCATTTCAGGTCCACGGCAATCACCGGAGCCAAGAAGGACAATAGACCTAAAGCGTGAGAAAAGCAAAGAGAACCACTCCCCTTGACTATCAGCTAGTGGTGCCATGTTCAACCTTTCCGCTACACTATTCCTCCTGTGATTCGGACTCCGCCGTCTTTAATAGTCGATTTCCATTTTATTTTATTTTCTTTCTGCGTTCTGATTTTTAATCTGTTTTCCCCCCTTCCTTTCTCGTCAGCGCGCTGAGTACAGCATTGCTGCCAAGCGTGGTATTTCCAAGTGATTGATCGCGTACTTGCGGACGCCTGCGTCAGTGGGGGTACTCTTGCGAAATCGACTAGGGCTGTGACTCTTGAATCCCTTTCCTCCCTTGCATTGCCGGTCCATCTCCCAAAGAATCACACAGCAAATAACGCCGCGGAAACCAAATCGCCTGCGTGGCTTTTCTATCTTCTGGAATCCGTGGATGGTATTCTTGACACGGCCTACATTCTCTTGCTTCATCCCTCGTCCTATTAGCTCTCGACGTTCGCTCGTGTCCTTTCTACGGCCAGCCCAACCAGTGTTCATGTCGAATCCGGAGACAAGCCGTGGGGGGCTTCGCTGAATGTCTAGTGAGCCGGCTCATGTCCAGGATGAGGTGTAGAAAACGTTTCAAGGAGGATGCTTGTTGAAAATCCCAGCAAGATTGAATGTACCTGACTCCACTATTGACCGCTCGTGATCTCTGGCAATACCCTGGACCGACGATCTCAACCATTTACTATCATTTTTTTTGTGACCGTTATTCTTTTTGATATCCCGGACTCCCTCTTCCTGGATACTTTTTGTATAGTCTTTGTTATACCACGGTGGGACAAGGTGTCTCCGCCATTAAGGGCCAAGATGTTGCCCTCAGTAGCACCTTTCCCGCCAGTTCAACCACATCATATGAATCATCATTATCACGGGGCTGACCCAGTTGATGGCAATTACGACTTTGACACGACGCCCTTCGCCGCCACGCTTCCTCACAATGACATGAACAAGTTCTCTTTCCACTCGGTTCCCCGCACTCGACTACAATATCATCCAGTGCAGCGCCTTGATGTTCACGACACGACTGGCATGGTACTCAGCCCGAAGAATCCTGGAGAGCATGCACTGAGGAGGAAGACACCGAATGGGACTCTTGCGGCTGGTTACGATGGGACGCCCGGGGATACAACGATTCAGCCCCCGGCATCCAAGCATATTCTCGTTTCGCCTCTAGAATCAGGTCAGATGGTAGCTCCTCAAACGGGCTTTCCCATGGACACCTGGCCGCAGCTCTCTTTAGAACAGCCCTCCCAAGCGAAACCGATGAACTTTCCGCCTGTGTACAAAAATGAGTCGGGTAGGACCAACGCAGCTCCCGGGGAGATGGTCCAGGGTGTGAATGGGGCAAGCTGGGTTCGTTCGTTGAATTACGTGCCGGGAATAGACTCGATGCTTAACCAATCACTTCCGATGCCGGGATCTCAGCAGAGATTCTACTGGCATAACGGCGCTTATGTTCCAACGGTTTTACCAGCGACTCTTCAGCCGTGCCTCGGTCCTACAGCATCGGCAGGTACGGGGCCATATGGTCCATATTGGCCCGATGGTGTATATATTCCATATCGTCCAGCGGCCTTTCGAGAGCCCCGGTACAACTCCCCTAATTCGTTCGCAAAACAAGTCAACCCCTCGGGTCTTCAGTTCTTCGATGCAGGGCAGCGGCCGTTCAACCATAATCCAGTACCATCAGGCAGTCACACAGATCTAGGTTCCAACTGGAGCGCAACGCCTGTAGGAATCATCAGTCACGACCCTTCCGTGAAGAACAACTTCCCCCCGCGTCACTCGGATCAGAAAGCCCTCGATACTTCTCAACGCACATTACCGTACCATACGCGTCCAAGCAATCCAGGTTCTGCCTTCTCATCACGTCAGCCTGGAAACGAAACCTACACACCATGGTCGGGCGCCTCTAGTGGGCATGGTTTTCAGGGCACAGGTACTACAGCTAATTCTCGCGCAGTCAATGTGGAGTTCAAAGAGAAAGTCTTGTCATGGGCTCATGGTGTTTATGTCGATCTCTTAGCTTCGATTCACCAGGCTCGACGGAACAGCATTTCTAATGCAGGTGGTGATCCTCAAAGCCAGCGGTTTTTGAAACCTAGCATATACCCCAAACCACCACGGCAGCCAGGATTGGACTTTTCCCAGGTAAACCCACCGGAAATTGGGCGCCATAAAAGCTATCCATCGAGCCAATATGATCACCGAACGAAAAACATTATCAATCATACCCCGCAGACTGACAGCCATTCAGGCTTTCAGACTCAGCAGCATCGGAATCGTCCTTCGCTTAACCATTTTCAACAGCAGAGTGACACGCAAATGCTCGACAGGCTACGCCACACAGGCCGCTTCACAGTTCCAGTGGTTCCCCCCTTTCCTGCTGCACCTTTTGGCAACGAGAATTCACCGTTAGCAAATGCTCGCACCGCTTTAGACATGCTTTCTCCACTGTGTAGTGAGAGTGGTTGGGAATGGATCGACGGTATGCTGCTTGGCGGCTGTCTTGCCTATGGTCTGGGCGACTATCCAAAAGCTATGAGATGGTATTTACGAATCATTTCTCGAGACCCACAGCATGTTGAGGCGATATCGAATCTAGCTGCCACTCTTTTGGCACTCGACCGTCGAGAGGAGGCACTAAACCATTGGCTACGTGCTGTGAAACTACGCCCCAGTTTCTTCGAGGCTGTAGAGCATCTCATTGGTCTCCTGTGTAGCAGCCATCGTGGAAAGGAAGCCGTCAACATCATCGAATTTGTGCAGAAGTCACTTCGCTTTCCAAAGAATGGTGACTGCTTTACGGCCGATGAGCATGCTAGCGAGACGGAGAGTGACGCAGAAAGTGGTGCCTCGAGTGCGTCGGATCTCGGCTCATACGAGAAAGCATCGTTCGATTACGATGATGACCTGAACAGATCGGTTTTCACTAATAAGCGGTCTGCAGAAGCCGGCTCCACTGGCTTTGGGACAAGCGGTTATGCTATCCCAGGCTGCGACAACGGTAGGATGCTGGCTCTTGTCCATGCTAAAGGTAATATGTTATATGCACTGGGTGATAATGCCGGAGCTGCGGTGGCGTTTGAAGATGCAATCCTGATCGCCGCCGGCAGAAGACGACACGGCATCCAAAACTTAATAAAGCAGATATTTGCAGCGTTTTCGTACGGATCGCGGCATGACTATCCTGCCCCATCAGAACAGCATAGCTCGAATGAAACCATTCTTCTTTATCCGGACAAGGCTCTGCAAACCTCCAAACTGGTTTTCCCTTCATGTGGGACGCCCCCCGGCCTCAAATTTGTTGGCGAAGGTCTGGCAAGGAAAGCGGCAATATCCACCACAAGCAACTCCTTGCTCTCCCTGGCGAAGATATACCAGGATGGAATGTCCAGTATCTCCACTGGGGGCGTGCCCAGAGCTGCTCCAGGAGTTCGGGATATACTGGCGCTCTACTACCTTTCGCTTTCTCTCCAACCGAGCCCGTCGACCGCAAACAATGTTGGAATTTTGCTTGCCGGCATCCAAAATAACGCAGCTAAAGGGCTACCTCGTTCTAGTGGTGAGATGCAACATCCCGAGATACCTGGTGTGGTCTTTGGCAGTGGAGTGTCTCTGGCCCTGGCATATTATAACTACGGGTTACACCTCGACTCTCGACATGCTCACCTTTATACGAATCTTGGCAGCCTACTCAAAGATATAGGCCAACTTCAGGCTGCTATTCGAATGTATGAACAGGCTGTCCAGTGTGATAACAATTTTGACATTGCTCTGGCGAATCTCGCGAATGCAGTCAAAGATGCCGGTCGTGTCAATGAGGCCATCACATATTACAAGCGTGCTGTCAAAGTAAATCCGGAATTCGCAGAGGCGGTCTGCGGACTAGCCAATGCTCTTAATTCTGTCTGCAACTGGGTCGGCCGAGGTGGTGTTGCCAACGGACATGGCTTCCGGGATCGGTGGCATGTTAATGAGCAAGGGATGCTTCGAGACGCTTACAGTATTGGCACCGGCGCTGGTTGGATTAAGCGCGTCGTTGATATTGTCGATCGGCAGCTTAAGGAAGGCGAAACCTGGGGCCGTGGCATACTGACTCCCAACACAATTGAGCAACTGTGCGCGCAGTTGGTTCCTGCATTGGACAGCCGACGGTTTGCATCTGGATCACTCAATGCTATTCTCCAGTCATGGGCGGGGCAGAAATGGGAAGGCTCGAGAATCGTCAAACTCGTTGAGCGCGCAATACGAGCGATCACATGGCAGTGGTATCAGGACCTTTATGTCCATCAGAAAGAATATCCCCTCTCTAAATATCGCAGACCACAGCTTCCCCCTGGGTTGTCTGCTCCCAATGCTCCCACAGTGCTACCTTTCCATACCTTCACGTGTCCACTTTCTGCGAAACAAATCCGGCAGATCTCACAGCGTAATGGGCTTCGCATATCCTGTGCAACCCTTCGCTCTCCATGGCTGCCAGCTACGGTGTATCAGCCCCCGGCTCCACCAAACCCATATCTCAAAGTTGGATATGTATCGTCGGACTTCAATAATCATCCTCTTGCGCATCTTATGCAGTCCGTATTCGGATTGCATAACCCGTCAAGAGTAAAGGCCTATTGTTATGCCACTACAGCAAGTGATAAGTCGATCCATCGTCAGCAGATTGAAAAGGAAGCACCGGTGTTTCACGATGCTAGTGGATGGTCTGTCGACCGGTTAGTAAAGCAGATCGTCGCGGATGGCATCCATATACTCATCAACTTAAACGGTTACACGCGTGGTGCACGGAATGAGGTTTTTGCTGCACGGCCTGCCCCAATTCACATGTCCTTCATGGGCTTTGCAGGGACGCTGGGTGCTGAGTGGTGTGACTACATTCTTTCCGACACGATCTCGATCCCCCAAGAGACCCTCTCCCCAGGAGGGCGTAATCTTAGCATCGAAGACCGAGTGCTTGAGGAGAACCATGGAGAGGACCAGGAAGATTGGGTTTATGGCGAAAAGATAGTTTTCACCAGGGCCACGTTCTTCTGTTGTGATCATCGACAAAGCGCACCCGACTCCCAGGACCTACGGCTCGCTTGGGAGCAGGAACGAGAGAAGCGATGGCGTATGCGGAAGGAGCTGTTCCCCAATCTTCGCGATGATGCCATTATCCTGGGCAACTTCAACCAGTTATATAAGGTAAGATCTCATAGGCACTTAAAAACGGCGATAACATACAAACTAACATCCTACATAGATCGAGCCCACGACGTTCCGTACGTGGCTCCGTATACTGGCACGGATTCCTAACGCCGTACTATGGCTACTTCGCTTCCCGGACCTTGGTGAACAGAACCTCAAGGAAACAGCCGTTGCTTGGGCGGGAGAGGAAACTGCCTCTCGCATCATATTCACTGATGTTGCGCCCAAGAACACCCACATCTCGCGGGCCAAAATATTGGATCTCTTCCTGGACACTCCCGAGTGTAACGCGCACACGACCGCGACGGATGTTCTGTGGAGTGGTACACCTCTCCTGACCCTTCCTCGCTACAAATATAAGATGTGCTCTCGTATGGCGAGCAGCATCCTCAGTAGCGCCTTACCCGATACCCCCGATGGCCAAAGAGCTCGCGAAGAGTTGATTGCCACATCCGATGAAGATTATGAAGAAAAGGCCATCCGGTTATGCCTAAGCTTGAAATATGAGCCTGGCAGTGAGGGCCGAGCAAGAGGCAGGTTGCCTGATCTCCGGAGAATATTGTTTGAAGAAAGATGGAAAAGCAAACTGTTTGATACTAAGCGTTGGGTGCGCGATCTGGAAGATGCTTACGAACAAGTTTGGCAACGATGGGTGGATGGCAAAGAAGGAGATATATGGTTATGAAATGCGCTTCGGAATATACCCCTTCAGCGTTTGTTTTTGTGTGTTTGCTTGTTTTTCTTATTACCCTATTTGTTTGTTCGATTTCCCCATAGGCGTGTGGCCTATGTTATACCTATGTGAGCTATATTTCACAGTTTGGTGTTTGTTATTTCGATGTAATTGTTTATAGGGATACCATCCCCTGTGCATGCTGGCGTTGGATGTCTTAGGGTATGGATCAATGATGAAGTTCCCCATCTGCTGGATGATCTAGGCTAGCAGCTGAGTTGGGTTTATTGTTTGGAATTATGACTACGATCTTTCATGGATAGGCGTTGAGTGGCTTGAATGTGGGCAGTGCGACAGGAGTGGTTTAACTGATAGATGGCCTGAATCGAGATCACTCTCAGTCTTCAAGTTGAGAGTTGCGTTCATATCTTCAAATGCTTCCTATTACTGTTGTAGTGGTACTCCCTTTATACGCCGACACACCCTTGATATTGTCCCATTCCAGCGCGACGCAAAATAAGTCATCACTGCCAGGGTAGTCCATATTTCCCCTGAAGACTACTGTGTTTCCTCAATAGAAGCAATGAAGGGTGTATTGGCCTGGAGTTCATCATCTATCTCGTCGGAGTATGGAAGCTTCCCACGAAGATCGTTTAACAACATACTATTCGATCTCTACGCAAGATCTATCTCGCGCATTTGTTATAGATATATTTATAGTTATCCAGTGTTAAACACTTACATAACTGCTTGGACAATGAACTGTCGGGGCACCGGGACAATAGTATTTAGCCAGTTCCAAACACAGTTCAAAGGCGATACAGCGATGGCTGCAGGTGATATGCTTTTTGTGAGTATTGCTTGTCCTCTTTCCGGGAGTGACAACAGCAGTCTCCCATGTCCTGGTACAGGATAAAGGAGAGAATGATGGGAGGGGGAATCACCTCCGGATCCCGGGTCCTTATCGTCATGAGTTGGCCAGAGTAGATGGGCTCGCCCGTGTCGCAGTTCCACAACCTGGCATTGCGGGAGCTTGCCTTCAGATCTGATGGGAGGGACGGAGGAACCACCATGGCCACCTGCGGGGAGTAGAGGTAGCCACCAGAACCGCATTGTAAAGGGATGTTCATTGTCCTCGGACATGCCGACGGGTCCAAAGGCAAGGCGTGCTGAGCCTCAGAGGTCGTGCACAATAGTCGAAGAGGCATAGTATAATGAAAGTGGCAGAGTGAGAGAGCCTTTGGTAGTGTGTATATTGGCAAACAAGAAATGAACGGTCAACTCTCGTCTGCGAAGCAAAGGGGCAGATGCGAGAGACGGAGTGGAAGCTCTCTTCTCTTGCATGTACGTATACCTAATCCGCCGGTTAAAGCGTATCCCAGAGTACATCATGATGATACACGTAGGTTGAAGGCAGAACTTGCCCCAAGTTCTCCTCACTCTAGTGCCGAGAGAGCTTTTTGCTGGCTCCAGTTTTTGCTGGCTCCAGTTTTTGCGGCTGGACCTTGACCTCGTCTTCCTTGACTTGGTTAATAGAACCGTGGTTCACGGAAATGTATGCACTCTCCCCTTTGGAAAGGGTGTATCTGTCGCCGCGAAGGGCCTGGCAAACTAGCCCGGATTACTTTTCCCATAGCTTGTTTCACAAGTGCAGTGGCCCCAGTGGCACTCTATTGCCATCTTTGCCTTGTGCTATCTTCCACCACGTGTACTGGGGGCTTTGCACTGGGCGCCAGAGAGTCAGGTGTACATTCCGACATTGGTTTTGTAGGTTGGCGCCTGCAATGTAACGTAATATGAACAGACCAACACCGTCGTTTTAGACCTATCTGTGGTACATTCTTTTATAAGATTTATCCTGTCAATATGAGAGAGACGCGAATAGTACACACAACTATCAATATGGTGCATAGTAAGTATTGTACCTTGTAAGAATCTGTTGCGCGGCCGAGAAACACCATATGATCAAGGTGTCCACCACAGTAGCCATGGCAAACGCGGAAAAGAAAACGAAGATAGGGTAGTAGATATACGCCTTGGAGAATAAGTAAGCCGCTTGAGTATGAATTATAAGCTTGTGGTTGTCGAACTAATTCGAATCGACTGTTGACGAGGGAAAGAAGAACCTCTGAAACTTAAGTTACCGGGCACGTCGATAAGCTTGAATAAGGGGGCTCTAGTCTTAGGGCGCATTTATATAGACTGACACTGCCTTCGAATAGCTTATCCCACTGATAACCATAATACTAAAGAGCATATCCTCTTCTGATCTCGTAGGCCCTACCAATTTGGTAGTATGCCCCTGGTTCGAGTTCAGGGGTGAATATCTACCATTCATATCGTATCTTTCATTACCTTCAACATGTTTTCCTTTGAGGGTTTTAGGGAAATGATTGATCTTGATGGTCATGCGCCATTTTGAATCGACCCCTTGGCGATCAGACGCAGATGTAGATCTATGGTTCTTCGACGATGTCAGTTCTATTCCAGCATAGAATAAACGGCAAGTAATGGCCACACTGGAAACGGCGGAGAAGAGCCTGCCGGATATCAGCCTGACACGGCTGGGAACCTTGTCTGATAAAACGTCATGGACATCCTGGGCATCCACAATGATGTCCATGAAGATGACAAGATTCTTTCCGGAGGGGCGAACCATTGTCCTGAGCCATCGCAGAGGATATTTCCTTCTGTAATCACCTTCGAGATAATGCTTGTCACTCCAGGGTGTTTTCAACTCGCCTACTATACGCAGTAGGCTATTGTGGTTCATCACAGCCACGTCTGGTACCTTATTTTTGTGCCTCGAATCGGCAGCGGTTGTCGTTTTCACGCGAGCATAGACTGGCTCAAAGGCCACCTGCAGAGACATCTCAGTGCCCTTGAGTGTGATTGGATTCAGTACAAAACATGTCGATAGGTCCTCCGATACAGCGACGTCTGTAACTCAGAGGTTAAATATTAGTGTGATGGTTTTGGCTTGCGAATACAGAGTGTACATCATCATCTGAATTCTCTGCATGGAGTCATCCGTTTTTTTCCAAATTTTCTCAAGAGCCTCTTTTAATTCTGTACTCCTGGTCTCGGCTTTAATAGCTCAAGCGTGATGTCGATTGTCTCTTTAATAAATAATAACGTAAGGGCAAATCCCTTATAAATGAAAGGGAAGTAGAAGTCCGCTCTAAGATGCTAATCTTTATCTCGGGGAGTAGTAGGAAAGGGAATGATTTAAGAGTTTGTGAGATATTCAACGGAGATAATGTTCTGGAGTAGGTATACCTTCAGGAGAATTGGTCGGTATAGTCCACTTATTGTCCCATGTGGTATCTTCTTCTCCTTTATCAAATGGTCCCTGTCCTGTGCATGACATTCGTTGGGACCTACCGAGGGAGAACATCGCCGGTCGACTTTCCGCTCTCTATCCTCAAATTCAACGTCAATAAATACGGTAGTTCGGTGGGTATAAAGATAAAGCCTGGGTTATGAGCTCGGTCGAACTCTGCGTGACAAGTTCCACAGAGAGGTATTCCATTTGCTGTTGACGTTAAACCGAAGTTGAGAAGGTCTGCCTCAAACTAAATGCCCACCTATCAACTATGCTTGTCCATGTTCCATCTAAGCCAACAGCATAGTATCACGTACTTGCTCATCTTCTTTTGCGATAACATGGCAGTCCAGTCGCCTCCAGTGCAGCTGTCATGACCTGGGAGTGCACATGGCCTCTCCTTTTTCGTGTCTGTGATGTGGATATAAAGGCAACGAGACCTGTATTGCACCGCGATTTCAGACATTCGAGGGCCTTATATCGCCGGAACTTGTACGGCCCCGTTGCTACCTCTTCTCTAAAACAATAGCTCTAGCCGTGCGTGCATTCTTTGCAAACGACACTGACTCGGCCAGAGGTTTTCTCGCAACCGGGACCTAGTCACGGGATGGGCTTTGATACCCATGCGCACTGGAGTAAGGGGAGATAGTATGTGAACCCAGTACACAGCTTTAGATAGTGATAGTGGTGAAATGGGCTATGGTGATAGCCATATTGCTGTGCTCCTGACGCAGGCCGATCATTTACTACCGCTATGCTAACATCCAGATCCACTATTATATAGTGTCAATTGCCGTATATTCCACTGAAAAAACTCCAGGCAGGATAACACCTAAAGAAAATCGGCCGGAAGCAGCATCGCCTTGACGATGAGAACCGCAGCTCAGGTGCAGGGACATGGACGCAGAATGGTGTGATCTTTAGTGACCATAGAACAGAACAGATGCATCTTGTTTGCAGATGGCTGAAAGCTGTGCTTTTTCTCCACGGTGCGGGATTGTTGAGCTTCATATAATCATGAAGAGTATCGTCATCAAGAGGCTTTTGCGCTGCGTTCCCTCCATTGGGACGAGTTTGCCGGTCATATCATGCTTTGTAAGGTTGCGCATCGTGCTGTGTTAGTGCTTATACCATCAAGCATATGTAGAATCCATTGCATCTCTAGCAGCCCCAGTCGTAGAAGAGGACAGTTATCAGAGTTCTCCCCTCCAGGTTATCAAACCACCAGCGCGTGACCTTCTAGGCGTTAGAAAGCCAGCACTATCTCAGCCAGATCACTCAGTGCTCTGCGAGACAGGAGCGTTGGTACGAGACATCTCCTCTAGATGTATGTATTCAAGGAAGAGTAATATGGGGCAATAGCTCCTCTGTGGTAGATTGTCCCGTAGCAGGAATAGTAGAGTAGGCATGTTTAAAGAAATAAAGATCTTCACACAACCGATACATCTTGTTGGAAGTTGGCCTTTACAGTTCCTTTTCAAGGCAGTAAGGAATTTCCTGCAGCGTATCCCATCCACTTCTCCAACTGCCGCATCGCCTTGTCCAGTCAGTTAGACTGTGGCCGGGAACGTGGAACCAAGGTGTATCTATTTGGGAGTCCTGAGAGCGAAGATTGTTCTAAGTCAGCGCTCTATGAAGTTCCTCTTGGGGGTATTGATAGACCTTATGTCTTCTAGACTCTTGATAGGATTCTTGCGGTGGATGGAGTGAGATCAGGATGGGGTTTATAGTTAGAGTAGGTATTTATATACTAATACAGATGTACATTCCCAGATTGAGGATCTAGTGAAAGTCTACAGCTATTACCATATCATCTTTATCGAGAATGAATAATGTGTATCTGATGAATAGAAACCTACCATGAATTCACCTGGGATGGTTCTCAAGGCCAGCTTGAAGTGCCCTCAACATAACCCGATCGACTTCCAACCCAGATAATTCGTACCATTGTAGTACAACCATCCCAATCCGGGACCACCTGATACCTCCAATTCCCCGGACAGACAAGGAAAAAGCCTGCAGAAGTCAGGTAACGGCAATCTGCAGGGAGCAGATCGATAAACAAGGTAAGACAACGCATGCTGCAATCATTGCTCGCAGGCCACCAGCCTGATTTCGAATGCTCTGGGTCTGGTAACATTCCGAATCAGGCCAGCAGGGAACACTTGTTCTTCCAAACGTTAGCCCAGGCCACAAGGCAATGGCGCGCATGCCTCAGGAATCCCCCGCACATCTGTGGCCATGTTTTAGTCTTCGGACGTCGTGAAATGCGCGCGCACACTCACACACACACACAGCGCGAGAGAGGGCAAGTGTTATTAATAGCAAAGCGTTCACCGCTGGTACAACAGAGTGACTTTTCAACCTGCCTTTCCCCCTGAGTGAAGCATGGCGTCGTCGAAGTTCCCCTATTCTATCATATTCCTCAGAGGACCTGCACTCGTTTCTTGGGACTGCACATGACAGAGTGCATGCCATCTGCCTCATGCCTGTCGACTGTCAAGCGGACTCGGCATCCGACCGACAGTGCAGGCGAGCTCACAACACCATGACAAATTGGCCGCATAACCCTAACCGGGGAAGCAGCATGGATGACGACACTTGATCAGGGACAGAGATCCAGTTCCCCGATCGGGGAGGAGGCAAGGAGCAAGCCGCGTTGTTTCTGATCCCCGTGTGAGTGATCGAGGCGTGGTGGTCTGCCATACACGGAGAAAAGCACACGGCGACCGAACGTCTCCGGATTTGTCATTTCTAAGCCTCGAGTCCATAAGGTGCGGATATTAGTTCCTTATGCCCCGAGCAGACTTTTTTCTTTTCTTTTTTCATGTGATTTTGATAACGGTGGCTGTTGTTGTTGTTGATCTCTAGATTCGCATCAACTAGTGCAATCCAGCTAGCTGTGGAGACCACGGCCATAGTACCTGGCAGTTAAAGACCGATCAGCAGGGAATGTATTTGCAATGTATTGGTGTTTGCGTGGATGGTGCACACCACCGTTGAGTAACAATCTGCATCGTGGTTGAACCCCTGGTTCTGATACTGATAGGGCCCGGGAGGGATGATCTCTCCTGCTGCTTGCTGGCCATGTCTCATATCAGAACATCGGCATCTCCGAATTATCTGGTCGCCGAATTGACCACACCACCTGAGTAACCCCAAAAAGGGGGGCGGGGGGACCAGAGAGAGGCATCTTTCCTCGGGAATTAACTCCGAGGAAGTGCAGGAAGTCATTGGAAAAGTCTCAGCTGCAATGCATCGGTACACCCGTTGATGGGAGGTACTCTCCCTTCTCCAGGTAGGTATGTGCTCGCTAGCGTACAGTATGTAATGGTTGTATGGCTGTACGTACATAGATACATACAAAAGAACAACGAAACCGATTACCGTCATCATACACAGTACTTTAATACACGCGTACTGTAATACCGACGGTCGGGAAACAGGACCGCAACGGCTGGTATCTGACAAGGCCCCACGTGGTTCGCGAGAACCCCTTGGCAAGGGGAGGGAGGTGCTTGGGCCATGGGGGCTCCGGGGGCTCTGATTGGCGTGCACGCTGACTAGCGTATCGCGTATAAGCCCAAAGATTACGGTAATACCCGGGGCCCATGACAAATCCTTTTCTCGCTGTTTGGCACCCGAAATGGCTTAGCGCAGTTGGATTGCCTGAATTGGTCCCTGAGCGGGGGTGACTTGTCCTCATGCTGGCCATAGCGGAGCGGTCGGTTCGTAACCGGCATCCTTAACTACGACCACTATAGACTATACTACCAGCTAGTAGTACGACCAAGGCTCGTTTCCATAATGGGCGACACGCGTTGTCGTTTTTCCCATCCCTAACAGGGGGGGGGGGAATAATTCGCAGATAGATCGGCGCTTGGGCTTCGTGGGATATATCTCGATCTGGAAACTTGGCGTGGCGGTGTTGCTGTGGCTTGACTATCAGCTTTGGGCTGTGGCGCTGAAGTCGATAGTTGAAGAGGTGAGGCTGAACCCAAGATCTATCCACCCCTGAAACCCAGAGTTACCATACCGATATGTCTGTCCGTACTGTATCCGTCACCCTTCCCCTCTTCCCCTGTATTGTGTATACACCCCTGTACGATACAGCCAGTACCAACCTGCAGCGACGTGCTCTGCCTTCTTCCCAAAAAATCCGCCGATCACGGGCGGACCGGTAAGGCGGGTACCCTAGTCCCAGAGTAGACTAGCGATCAGCAAGAGCACCGAGATCCTCCGTCCACCAATGAGAAGGCCGGACAATTTGAATCTCAACGTTCCGTGCAGGACTCAAGAGGAAATCGATCAACCGGTCCGTCCAAGGCCAAATAAAAAAAAAAGAAAAGAAAAAAGAGCAGCAGGGCAGATCCACCTTGCTTTAGGAGGGGGGCGGCGCTGTGTGTGCACAAAGCTCGAAATCCAATTACCTTGTATTAACAATGCAGAGCATAAACCTACTCCAACTCCAAGTAAGCTACCCAAAAAGCACATACCAACCAGGCTCAGCTGCCATCGACTACAGTTTTTTTTTTTTTTTTTTCTGCCTTCTGAGCTCAGTTGAGCAGTTGGGGTCCACCTTCAAGGCATGCAGCAACAGGGCATACATATGCAGAATCAGAATGTCAATTCCCTATCGAGGCGGAGTGATAGGTTGCATATGCATTTTCCCCTGTCATGTTTCCGCCGTTCCGCGTATTAAAATTTAAATAGTCACGAGTTAGCATGTTTTTGACATCTAACGGATGAACTGAGAAAAGATGTGGATCCGTCTTTCCTCCTCTCTGTATACAGGTTCTCTAAAAGAACCACGATAGAATGGAAAGAGAATAAACTAGAAAGGGGAAAAAAAAAAAATTTACACATACATACCCGCGGAAATAGATAGCCAATAAGCCCACCCATCCCTACTTCCTGGAACGACTTCTCCTCCCCGTTCCCAGAGGACAAACGACGGAATACCAGGTTATTGGATCCCTTAGCGCCGCAGTGGGTGCGAGCTTCGACTGGAAAATGGGATCTGGATGTTCGAACCTTGATTCCATTTGATTTGATTTGATTTGATTTTCTATGCCGTCTCTGATTTCTTATTTCTGATTTGGTTCTGCACGTCCTTCTCGGTTAGGTTGGTGATTGATCGGTTGTACCCGATAGCATGGTAGCTATTTTTTTACTCTTTGTTTTTTTCCTTTTTGGTCCCGAGACTTGGCTTCGGTGCATCTCGGGGAGGAAAATCCTTACACCAATGAAATCGAGAACAGAGCGAGAACCTGTTCTTCCATTCGGTGCATAATATTCAAGAACTCACCGCATTTCCAGCGGTGTGGCTACAATTCTCTGCTGAGAGAAGTAGTCCTACATAGTTTGGAACATACCTGGCATCAACCAATCTCCTTGATCGAAATTATCAATCGGTGTCACAACCTCACGAATCTCGAGTAGAGTATATTTGCAGTACTGTAGCCGGTAAAAATCTTGATCACTAAATACGCCGAGCATGATCCGAGTCGTCAAATCTAGTTAGATTAATGGAAAGAAACAAACTAAGAAAAGAAAAATACAAAAAAGAAATAAATCAAATCGAGAGAAAAAGAAAACAAGGGGGACTCGGATTTTAATTCCGGGCTAGCATACACCACCGTACAGAGGATAGTCAGTGCTCCAAGGTAGGATCAGGAATGCATCCCCCTCCGCCCGCTAAAGTAGCTGTAGTGGTCAGGACGACTCCAAGTGCTACTCCGTAAGCAGACTCGTTCTCGCTAGCGAACCTCCCCCACCTTAATATCAAACTCCAGATTACCCGCGGACAGCCATCGACGCGGCCGTTTCATATCTCAGACTAGCCGGCCCTTGGTTCTGGGTCGGCTGCAACTCTGACCACGGGAAGATCACTGCGGTCGAGGGCCAATGAGCGTTGTCCGAGAAGATGTGATCAGGCCTTTTTGTCTTTATTTATATTTTTTTGCATTCTTGGTTCTCTGGTTCTGTCAACGCAGGGGGTCCGATTCGGTACTCATCAAAAGCTTTCCGTGGTTTGCTACTCCGTTGGCCCGTTGGGAAGGTGATATTATTAGAATTTTCTTTTTTTCCTGCAGATATGGATCTCGGGAGATGAGTCAATCGGAGTTGTGAAACGCAGTGCTTCTCCTGGTTATTCATTATGGACTGATTATGACTGTCGAGACTGGGATGGGCTGACTCCGTCGGCTCTGCGATGAGGATCGCTGAGATTGCCCAATTGGGTCAACAGTCTACGACCCAGGATGTTACATTCCGGGGCGTTAGCTCGGCAGCTCACTAAGCTACTCGCTCGGCAAGGACCTGGACCTGCGTAGCTCGAGCTCCGGTAGCTCGACGAGATGGTCTTTGCACGGTAGTATTCTATCTTCAACAACCTCAACGCACCTAGTGACTAGTCGCAATACTATCCAGGCCCGTTAGTCACGCTAGGTCGCAGTCAGTCCAGGTGTGGAGGCTTTCCCCCGAAAAAAAGGGTATCCACCCAATCACTCGTGAAAACAGGTCGAGTCTCCACTGGAATATATTAAAGCCCTATTAAAGCCCGACATGATCTGCCAATCAGTGGCCAGGGTTCCCTCTCTTCTGGTTGCCGATGAAGCAGGATATAAATACTTCTCTCATATTAATTAATTCCGGGTGATCAGGAGAAAGCCAGGTTAAGAGGTTTCAGCTGTCACTTTGGTGAGATTAATTGAGCCATATAAATAGATTGAATCTTAATTTGTTTCGTCGTCGGGCACGTTATCCGCAATCCATTCATTTGATCTCGGGCGGATTCACCCCCCCTGATAGCCTGGTTGGTTTGGAGTCGAGCGCCAACATGAATTTTTTTGTGGCTGCAACGGTTCTCCACTCGGCTGAATCTCCCTATCGAATCATCACGATCGGATCGGAATCGGTAATGCGTCACGTTCGAGGGGAGCGAGAGGAAACTAATCGTCCGCTAACTGACGCTAACGACGAGTATTCCAAATCAATGGGAAAACGATCGTCGCTCCAGTGCTGCGATCGTCTCTTGGTCCGCGCCAGGGGTGGAGGAGGTAATTCGACAATCTCAGTGTTCGTCCCTGAGTCGGCTGGATAATTCGGCACCGGATGGCGCTTGGATTTGGCTTGGATTTTCTGGGCTTCGGCTGGGAGCACAATTATTCCATTTCGAGAATAAACGTTAAAGACAATAATTTAAAGTTAAAAATGCGAGTAAAATACCGGAGCGAGTCATGTCAGTAAGGTGTCAAAGACGGAGAGAAGGTATGGTATGTGTGCCTTGTCGATTAGCCACCTTCCACGGAAATTAAAAAAAAAAAAAAAAAAAAA